AATCTCAACCGCAATAAACTTTTGACTCTATTTTTAAAATACATGGAGAGGAAGCTCTTCGTTAAGATAAGGATATTTTGCATAATTCCTCATTTTTTTTATTATCTGGAGCAGCAAATCAAATCAGCTCCATATTAAATTGCATGATAAGAAACGCGATGCCTCTCGTAAAGTCACTAATTTGACGTTGATCCAAATTCAAATTATAATATCAAGATGTCAATATGCGATGCGGAAAAGAAGCAGCGCCGGCGGCGGCGGAATGCGCTCGGCGCACGGTCGATCTGATAAAAATAAAGGCCGCGGGGAGACTCGAACGCGCGGCGATCCCTTATTTTTTCGACTATAACCCCTAACGCACGCAAATTAGCCAGTCACGACACCAGACGGAAGTGTAACTCATTTCCTGCCCACGTGTAGATATATAGCGAGAGGCTCAATTAGCGAAACAAACACTTGACTCTTTTGACTGCCAAGCGCGGCAGTAAAAAGTTAAACGATGAAAAATAAAAAACAGCAACAGTAAAAAATATATTAAGAAAGCTGCGTGCAATAACTTGTTATCGCACTTGTCAGCTCGGATGTAAATTTTTTACCTGATGAAAAAATGTAGAAGGGTAATTTGAGCCACGGGACTGACGCAGCATTTTATTATTACAAAATTTTACAGATCAAATCTTCGCCTTTAAAATCCATGCTATTTTTTAAACGCCTCTTAAAGTAATTACTTATAAGATAAATTAAATTTTTCACTTTTAACTTCAGAAGTAGATTGTAACAAATCACGGCATTTGCAAATGAAAAACAAACAATAAAAGTAATTTTGATTTTACACGGAAATTTTATTTATTGTATCAGTCATATTAATTACTGCAGAAAATATTTTCTTAGACTTTATCGGATCTAATGAAATTTATTATGCAATGAAAAATTATAAAATTATTTTAAAATTTTATTCTGCAGTAACCAAAAATATGAGATTCAGAATACCAAAAAAAAAAATGAACTTCTGCAATATTTTAATTATAGACTGGTAAATCCAAAAAAATTTGTAAATATGTTAAAAAAATTATCCCCGATAAACAATTTTATTCAACAGTAGGTAAGGTGAATTTTATTGATTTATGCGTTAAAATATTTTTCCTTGCATTTTTCTGGCTAATTAAATACAAATAAAAAGTGAGGGAAAATCATTTATAATAATTATTGCAATAACTTGAGCAATTATTTTTTATTTACTTGCTTCATAGCTCGGCTATTATGATATTCCGGTTAATATATGCATTTAATCTGTGACGAGTTGCATGATAGCAATATGACAAGCTGAATTACTCGGAAAGGGTTGGGTTTAAGGGAAAATACACAGTTTTTCTACGCCATCTAATTATTTTTTTACAATATTTGATTAAAGGTCTTTAACTTTAAAATCAACAAAAGATTTAAAAAAAAATGTATGTATAACATAATTATTTATATTATTCTATTTGTAAAATTATAAATTAAAAGTGTGCTAAATTTTTGGTTAAAATAATTAATTTTCGTAAAAGAATTCATCAAATAAATTTAACTCTAGGCATTTCCTGCTTGTCTAAATTGAGAGCAGTAAGTCTAATAAAATTATATCAGTTCAATACGGATTTTTTTTTCACTTAAACTTAAATTCAGGAGAGAGCTTTTAAATAAATCTTCTCCTGGTGAATGGTGAATACAAAAATTTTAATTCCTAACTGAACTCAATTTAATGAATTGCCTAGAAGTTCCATCAAGTCACTCTTAAAACAAATTAAATCGACCAAGCATAGATTTCTCTTCCTACCACCCTTGAAAGTATTGACGTAGGGTCGAGTGAAAGGGTTAGCTTACCATCTGTGGTGTGTTCGGGCACGATGAGTCTGCTGATGGAGAAGAGGCCCTTGGCGGGTCGGTGCTCGAAGGAGGGCTTGCTGAGGTCCATGAGGAGACGCCGGGTGGCTCGCGGGCCTCGAGCGGACTGAGAGTGGCGAGCGCGACCCGGCGGCCTCCACGACGGCCCCCGCCCCGGCAGGCTCGATTGGTGCTCGGAGAACACGCCTCCGGTGCCCGCCCCCCGCTAATTAGCACCTCGTTATGGCGCTCCACGCCGTCAATCGCGCCGAGACGACTCGAAATTTAATTTCTCCAGCGGCACTGGACCACAAATTTCTGCCTCCCTGCGTTGTATATTTTACAAAACATATAAACGCGCGGCCGTCAGCACCTGTTGCCTCTCTTTAGGGGTGCAGGTGTGCTTTTATGTTATTTACGAGCCGAAGCGATTTGCATAAAATTCCTCGTGTATTCATTAGTGGCTCTGATTCATGCTGATTGCGCCCCGTGTTTGTTTAATTATGTTGTGTTATTTTTTTATTTGAGGAGACATCAGCGTGACAGCATAATTCCGACCGGGTAAACGTTTAAAATATATTCCTTCTTCGTTATTATTTGATGGTGTGAGAATTACAATTACTTTATGTTAATTTGATTTTTTTACGCCATCAACACTTTTGCCTTACTTAACGATCAGATCATTCCATTCAATACCCATATTGCCAAAGCATACTTGTAACCTATTATACAAAAAATATTGATTAATTTATCATCACTTAAATATTATTTATGATTAAACTGAATTTTTACCCGTCACCAGACAAAAATAAAAGTTTCTTTGAAAAAAATGATACTATATGGTGAAGTGAGAAATCTATTTTATAAACACACCTGAGGCATATAAAAATAATATAATATCGCTCTTTTTTCGGTACAGCGCGGGTTCAAGCGGTGGCCGCGTCTCTTTCGATTTTGAGCGTTTTTTAGCAGACCTCGTCTGATTATTCCTTAATGCTTATATAGCCCCTTTGTGCATTTTTATTTCTCTAACAAAGTTCCCAATATTTTCGTAGAGTAGAATAAATAATACAATATTATTGCGCTGACTGACTAACCATAAGAGTCTGATTCTATATAAGTTATGTATACAAAAGCATATTATATTGGATTAGGAGAGGGCTCTTGTGAAACACTGTGAAATCGGGGAAGAGTTTTCTAAAAAAATTAATTGCCATAAGACCATAGACGAATGAAAAAAGGTAAAATTGTATTTAAAAAATCAGATCTCAGCATGTTTAAAAAAATGCGTCCCTTCCATGCGATTGAATTTTTCTAATCCATATTCCTATAGAATCAGATTCTCAGTCAGTAAGCGCAGTAATGTCGTTGTTTATTCTACTGAAAGAAAAAATTGGGAACTTATTAGAGAAATAAAAATGCAGAAAAGGAGTTATAAGCATTAAGCAAGCAGAGGTCTGCTAAAAAATCAAAAAATCGAAAGAGACGCGGCTGCCGCATTTGAACCCGCGCTGTACCGAAAAAAGAGCAATGCCAATTTTTACCAGTTAATCGTTTTTTTTTATAGCCAACGCTTGTGCGTTCTCCATCTCATCCCTTCAAAAAGTGCATTTTCCCTTTGGTCTCGCGAGTCGCGTCCCAGTGATTCCCTCTGTTCTGTGTTATAAAATATTGATTCCAATGCTTTGAATACTTTTCCTACATTGTGCAAAGATAAAAAGCATTAAGCATTATTTGAAACAAATAATTATGATTTTTCATCCGAGTGGTTTTTTTAGGCTCTGTATAGCTATGGCGATTAGTTATTTACATCACCTCATAAACACGCATTATGAGCTCCAGTCTTCAGTGAGTGTTCAGTAAAGAAAAGCACACTTGCCTACTTTTCTTCTAAATTATTATTAATTTTTTTTTTAATTATTTACGTTTTTGAAGAAAAATTATTATTATTGTAACTTTATTTTGTATAAAGCTATATTAAATCCAATCCATGTCAAGCTCAGAATGGAAAAGACAGAGAAGTAAACCTGACAACATGATTTTCCCAATGAATCACAATGCATGTGAGGAGCGGTTAAAAAACCTTGCTGACGAAAAATTTATTTGTAAATACTAAATATTTGTTAATATTTCTTTCTCATTATTAATTGTGCAGGTTCTGCATAACAAAATTAATTAGTCGAGAAATCAAGAACTCAAAGTTTCGTAATTGTGTCAGCGCGATCAGTTAAAAAGAAGTGTATTAACGCTTGTGAGTTCAAAATTGCTAGAAGAGGAACTTATGAAATATTATTTTCTCAAGAATTAATTTTGCAGTTTTAAAATTTCCTTTTGAATTAAAAACAAAAAACCATTTTAAATAAATTTAAAATAATAAAATGCAGATCAAAAAGTAAGAAACGTTTACTGCTAGAATAAAATGTTGTAATAAATAATATCCAATCTATATAAATTCAAAAGAGAATATCATTGAAACAACTAGAAAAAATGTATGTGTTCGCGCGACTTATTTAACAGAAAATTTTTAAATACTTCAGTTTTGATTAAATTTTGAATGATTGCACGCAATATATTCGATTTACATATTTATCTAATTCTATATATTGGAAATTTTAACTTCAAATAATTAAAATACTCAATAGTCCCCATCATCAATTGTAAATCTGCACTTTACTAAATATTTAGCAAGATTTTATTCTTCAATCAAAAAATATAACACCATCAAATAAAGTTTAATTTTTGTAAGTACAGCGCAAGTGGTAGCAATAAATAATACAAGTAACATCGATATTGCCTTTAATTTTGAATCTAATAAATTTAATGCCCCAAAATATTTATTTTCAGCTGAAGAAACAAGAATTAATAAATAAAATATATATATATTTTGATATCTGTCATCAAAACAGAATGCGTTTATGAATGAACCCATGGCATCTGAAAAGGCTGTAAGGCATTTCATATTTTAACCTTTTTTTAAATTTTTTTTATTATGTTTGTAGTGAATGTGAATTATATAGTCTTTAGCGCCTGATGAGTCCTCAACCCGCGCGACACTCGCTGCTGAGGTGGGGGCCAAGAACTTCTTGGTGGGGGCAACAGGGGCGAGGGGCGTCGCTGCAAAATTACCAACTTGGCAAATTTCGCTTTTCGCTAGTGAGTGTTGTTGTTGCTGTTGTCAAATTTACAATCAGATTGCGGCCGGCGGAACGAAAGTGCCAAGAAATCGGACAGTATGGGGGCGGTTCTGGAGGGGCTGCGATCGCTGGACGCGTACCCAAAGCCGGACGAAGAGCAGAGCGTCAAGACGGTCACCGGGGCCGTCGGTAAAAAGCTTTTATCTTGTGAAGAGCCTTTTCTGAAAAGTTTGTGATTTGCAGTGTCGGTTGTCAGCCACTTGATCATGCTGCTCCTACTTCTGTCCAACTTAAGCGAGTACCTGTCCGCCCCTGAGATGGCCGAGGAGATATTTGTGGACGTATCCCGAGGCTCAAAACTGAACATCAACCTGGACCTCGTTGTTCCTGGAATTTCCTGTCAATGTGAACATTTATTTCCTTATACATTTATGATTTTACATGGACGTGCCAAAAAGATTGGTTTATTTCTGATTTTATTTTATTAAAGTTGCGATTTAATAATATCATAGCAAAATATTAATTATTTCTGGGTTTTTTCAAGTCCTGCTAAAAATTAAATACGTAATTTATAATTAAAACATTATAATATTTAATTTTCAGTTCTCGGTCTCGATGCCGTTGATACATCCGGTGATCAGCATTTACAAATAACACATAATATTTTTAAAAGAAGGCTTGACGCACTAGGCCAACCTATTGAAGAGCCTCAAAAGACAGAATGTAAGTCAAATGAGAGAGAAAAGCTCTAGTTTTAAAAATGAAAATTTCCTTACAGCACTTGGAAGCTCAAAGGCTGACGAATTCAAGGTTCGCAAATAAATTTATTAATTTTGTGCTTGAATTCTTAAAGTTAAAAATATTTTTAGAAAGCCCTTGAAAAACTGGCCGAAAAGAAAGAAGAAGTTGACGAGAAAGGGAAGTGTGGCAGTTGCTACGGTGCTGAAACGGAAGAACTCAAGTAAAAACTTAAAATTATTATAATGCAATTGTTATTCATTTTAATTTCATCTTGCAGGTGTTGCAACACATGCGCTGAGGTCAGGGAGGCTTACCGAAATAAACAATGGTCACTGCCCGAGCCGGAAAATATTGAACAGTGCAAAAAGGAAAACTTTTCTGAGCACTTAAAAAATGCATTTACAGAAGGCTGCCAAATCTATGGCTACCTCGAAGTCAACAGAGTAAGTAGTCTCAAAATGATATATTGATTGATTGTTCGATAAATTCATACTTTTTTTATTAGGCTGGAGGAAGTTTTCATGTGGCTCCAGGACAAAGTTTCTCAATAAATCATGTCCATGGTAAAAAAATTGATTTAATGTATTAAATAGAATAACTATGAATATTTCTAACAGTTCACGACGTCCAGCCATTCTCCTCTTCAAGTTTCAACATGTCACACACCATCCGGCACCTCTCTTTTGGCCAGAGTATAAGAGGAAAGGATGGTCCTCTCGATAATCACAAGGAAATCGCTAGCGAAGGTATTAAATTAATTAAATTTAAATCGCCGTGCACATTCTGTAGGCTTACGCAATTTTCAATTTCATTTCAAACATGCGGGATTACTTTTTCAATTAATAAGTCATTCCTTTTCGGATATCTCAGTCAACCGAGTATGTTTTTAATTCAATTTTTTAAGTTAAATACAACACAATATTTATATCTGGAACATAACATTCTACAAATTACAAAAACCCAACTTTTCGAATCATATTTTCTGGCAAAAGTCTCTCTATCTTCGTTCAACCAAATGCACACACGCTCTTGTCGGTGTTTAACGCATTCAACTCTGCGGCTGGTCAGCATCGGATGCCTGATCCAATAGCCATGAAGGTGCCAAAGGTGCCACCACCCTGCAGCATCACTTTGCCGACGTTATTGATTAGTTCCCGTCCTCTCATTCCGTACCTTTAAAGAGCATAAATTTAGAATGAAAAAAGGGGCCTATCAAAGGGATGAGACTTACCGGAGGGCCGAGAAGCCGCCGAAAATGGCCCCGCTGGCCATTCCCACGCAAAATCCCATTGTGAAGCCCATTTTGATGCGGTCCCAGCAGCTGGGTCCGGATTGGAAAGAACCTGCGGGCATCGGCATCGTGGAAATTCGAAAAAATCACGGCCGGGGTGTCTTTTCTAGACGATAAAGGCTGCCATATTGGAATTTCGGTGTTTAGTTGGTAGCCCTGAAATTTTGCTCCTGTTGGCGGGAGGGAAAAATATTATTTTTGTTCAAGCAGGATTACTTTTTTTCTAAATTGCTTATTACAATCCAGACTTTAGAGAATCTCATAATAAAAAAAAAATACATAAAATAATTACAGTAAAATAAATCAATATAAAACTTCAATGACTGACTGTGTAGTTCAATTTTTTATTTTCCAGGTTCAACAATGTTTCATTACTATATAAAAATTGTGCCCACAACATACAGCAATCTAGATGGCCAAGTTTTCCACACAAACCAGTATTCTGTAACGAAGCACAAAAAGGTTGTCTCGCACAGTATGCTTGAGTCGTCGGGAATGCCAGGCATTTTCTTTAGCTACGAGCTGTCGCCCATGATGGTTCGTTACTCCGAAACCAAAAGGTAAAAATTTTAAGTTTTACATTTTGTTCGTTTTCTTTAATGCTGGTTGGTTTAATAGGTCACTAGGCCACTTTCTTACAAATGTTTGCGCCTCAATTGGTGGCATTTACACTGTGGCGAGCATTGTGGACGCAATCATCTTCCGTCTCAGCCAGAGAGCCACCAAGTTCCAGTTGGGCAGAGTCAACTGATCTGATTTTGTGATCAGGCCCTTTATTTAAAATGGACCTCAATTTTTGTTCAGTCACTTTGTGTTATTGATTGTAAAACGATTTTATTAAACTGCTCTGACGAGAGACCATTATTAATTTTTTTAAATACATGTCATACTAAGTTTGTAGAATTAAATTATCAAATTTCTTTTGACTTAATTTTTGAGAAATAATTTGGTGCATCTGAGTGAGTATAAAGTATAATTGCAAATACGGTAGTACAGTTGAATAATCTTTAGTCAAGATTTTCCAACTTCTCATGATTCATGATATGATATAATAATAATTAATTGTTTTTACTTTTATTAAAATAGAAATTAATTAAGATTTTGTTAAATAAATGACCCAAGTTTATTTTATCCGACGCAATCGATTTTCAAGTATTTATAAACCTATATTTTTTTTTTGTCAGCAAATATAATTTATCTCAATTTATCTAAAATAATAACTTTAAAAAAAATTCACTTCATGGTTTCTTGCCGTATTTATTTGCCCTAGCTCAGGATGGTCAGCTGTGGTTGGCGACACTAGCGCCGCCCCTGTGTTGATTGTTTTCCACCCGAGCTCTGCTCGATCGACGATACTTCCCGTCGAGGAAAACAGGACCCTGATTTGGTGTGTGGGCGGTTGCGTGTACAAAGGGCAATGGTCGTGTTGCCAGGACATCCCTACTGATGGCTGGACTGTTCGACTACAGCAGGGAGGCCGTGCGGGTCAAGGCCAAGGTACAAAACAAAACTTCCACCTTTTCCTCATCTCGACCTTTTTCCAACCACACGTCTCCTTATTTTGCAGAAATGCGACGGCGATGAAGAACCCGAGTGGCGCAAGTTCAGCGTCGACCCTCAGATCACCACCTACGAAGTCCTCAGGTCGATCCTAGCCAAGGCTTTTGAGCTTCGCAGGTTTTACGAACCTTTTGACATCTTTTTCCTGTACGATTTTTACCTTGATATAATCTGCATCTGCAGGGACTTTTCTGTAAGCTACCGAGTAATTGATGACCTAGGACAAGAGACCTTTCTGCCCTTGCTGTCCGACTGGGACCTCGATGCTGCCTTCTTGGGCGCCTGTGACCCTTCCTTAAATTTACAGGTTATTTTGTTATTTCCTTTAAGTTTTGTTTCAATTCTATAATTTTTGTTAACTAAACTGCAATTTAATGTGGCAGCTATATTATTAAATATTTTTGAGGAAAAATAAAATTAAAATTTACCCAACCATAAAAAAAAATGAAATAAAAATGGATTTTACGTCATATTAATTTTTTGGAACTTCCAGGTGGATGTGACTGGAGCTGAAGAAGCATGGGAGCCGGAGGAGCCGCCCGTGTCTGTGATCAAAAGTCTCAAGCCCTTGCTGAAGTTGGGCAAACCAAAAGCAGTGCAGCTGCAGGGTCTTTTCAAGAGCCAGATGGAGCGCACCCTGGGTATGGTGCAACGCGCCCTTAAACCTGAGGACTTGCCGTCGGACTATGACCCCGAACCTCCGGATGAAGCGCCTGTTGATGACACCTGCTTCAGGAGCTTCCTGGACCCTTTGGGGAACTTGGAAGAGCCTCGCGCAATGAGAGCAGCTGTCTTTGCAGCAGGCGTTGACCCCGCGCTTCGAAAGGTTGTCTGGAAGCACCTGCTCAATGTTTACCCTGAGGGTCTCAGCGGCAAGGAGAGAATGGAGTACATGCGACAGCGTCAGCAGCAATACAACACCCTGAAAGAAAACTGGATCAAACTAGCGGTAAAAGTTCTTTATTTATTTATTTATTTTAAAGTCTGTTAAAATAATTTAATTTTTTTAATATAGATCAAATTTTAAGTTATATTCATAAAATATAAAAATCAACAGGAAACTTCAGAGTTGGTGGCTATTACAACCATGGTTCGCAAGGATGTTTTAAGAACTGACCGCCACTTACTATTTTACGCTGGCAATGATGACAATAAAAATGTGGCTGCACTTTTTAATGTGCTCACAACGTATGTTTATCAAAATTTATGTATATTTTTTTTTAATTTCGCCTTTCTCAGATATGCTGTTAACCACCCCTCTGTGAGCTACTGCCAGGGCATGAGTGACCTAGCCTCTCCTCTGCTGTTCACTATGAAAGACGAATCTACAGCCTACGTTTGTTTCTGTGCCCTGATGCGTCGACTGCGCAGCAACTTTTCCTTTGATGGCGCTGCCATGGGTCTTAAGTTCCAGCATCTCTCTATTGCCCTCAGACACTATGACCCTGAATTCTACCTCTACCTCCAGCAACAACAGGTGATAAAAATTGTTTTGCCGTTATCTTACCTCTTAAAATAAATTTAAAATAAAAAATAGGCTGGCGACCTTTTATTTTGCTACCGGTGGCTCCTTTTGGAGCTCAAGCGGGAATTTGCCTTTGACGACGCTCTTCGAATGTTGGAGGTCTTGTGGGCCTCTCTAGAACCTGACTGGCCACCTCTCGAAGGTCTTCAGCTGCAGGAAGCGTCTGTTCGGCCATCAGCCGCGCCCAGTAAACACACGGCCTACACGCGATTGTGCGCCAAGAGAAGACAGCGCGGTCTCCCTTCAAACAAAAGTCTGGACGAGCTGGGCCAACGGGCTCAACTCACAACGGGACGCCGACCCTTCCTCAGTCTAGACGACTCGGACCTAAGCACTGTCGTCGAGTGCACCTCTCCTCGGAAGGTGGTCAGGAATCTAAAGGAGTTCCAGGCCTTGGCGCCAGCCAGTGTCCCTGAGCAAAAGAGCAACGGCAAAGACGAGATTTTTGTCTGGGAAAATCCTCTTCCACCCTCGCCGGCGCAACCTGCCTCTGAAGATGGGCCCTGGTGGGGCGAACAGGTTAATTAAATCTTTAATTTTATGGTGCGATTTTGATGATTAAAACACAAATATAGGCCAATAATTTGAGCAGTCCTCGACCGCTGCCATCTCCGACTAGTCTAGGCGGCGGAAGTCCATTCCTGATCATGCTGTGTGTGACGCTGCTGCGGCAGCACCGTGACCGTATTATGACAGCTCGGATGGACTACAACGAGTTGGCCATGCACCTCGACCGGATGGTGCGCAGACACAATGTCCGCTCGGTCTTGCGAGAGGCCCGGGCTCTCTATCGTGACTACTTGGCCCAGCACGGATGACCGAGTGGTTTGATTCCAACTGTGATATCCAACTAAAAAACCCTTGGTAAAACTTCATTCACTCTCGCGCATCACTTTTTGTTACTTTGTTTGCATTTGATTGCACGAATCTCACTCACTGAATGTGCATTTGTAATCGCCATTCCTCAATAATAAACCAAAGACACCAAAACCTCTTAATAAAGTTGAATTGAATAACAAAGACTTTCTCTTTTGGGATTAGAGATAAAAAAAATTTGACTCACGAAACGTTGTTGTAACAAAATAAAACGTTTAATTCATCATGGCAAATCAACTACATTGAGTGTGCATGGACAAATTTTAATGCCAGTTGACCCGTAGAATAGAAGTGCAAAAAGAAAGATGTTACTGTTGAACAAGACCCAAGCCACGGGCACCTAGTCTCATAACCATCGCCAGGCTGAAAATAGTAAAGCAAAATTTTAGAAAATTTTGGTTTTACAAAGAAATTTAGGAAATGTAAATTTAAAACTATAATTATAATTTTTCCTTTTTTAACTCACACACAAAAAAAGTAGTTTTTTCATGAAGTTTAAATTCTTTTTTAGTTTACATTATTTGTAAAAGAAATTAAGATGCATAATAACCTCAGGGTAGCTACTAATCCTGCAGGCATGAACTTGGCATTCTGGAAGAGAAATCTGTTGCCCATGACTCCCATCAGAATGGAACTAGCGGCCAAGGAGAGATAATAGTTGTTTGGGTTCTGGGAAGTCTGGTACGCTCCAAAGCCCATTACAGAGCCAAACAGCAGGCCGGCTCCCAGAGAAGCGGTGCTTCCGGCCTTGACATAGCCCATGACCCCGCCTGCGGCAATGGTCGCAGCGTAGGCAAAGCTGATGTAGTCGATGGCCATTGCAGTAATCGTAAACAAAAGTAATTTTGAGTGGAACCTGTCTTTCTGGAGAGGAAAGTAGTGGATTGTGGAATTTAATTTGTTTTTATCTGCAGACAAAAGAGCAGCTATATAAATATAAGGAGTGTTCTTAAAGGATTGACCAGCCTAATAAGAACCATAATGAGGTTCTCGGTCCTCGTCAGTCAAAGTTAGCGTAGATTTCAAGTTTGTTATTTCAAAATAAAATGAAGAATTTTTATAGATTCGCGTTTCTATACATATTCAAATTAAAATAAAATCTCCGAATTGTAAATCACAGAAGCAGCAGCTCCGAAATGCACACCTCTTAATTTCAAGTGATTTGAAATTTGGCGGTAAAAAAGCGTGCGATTAAGGAACAACTTTGGGTTCATGAGAACGATGGTGGAAAACAAAGGAAATTCCCGAGTCCCAGCACTGCTTCAGGGCGACGTCTACGAGGCCTTTTTTGTCTGCGCAGTGATTCCACAGGGAGAGATCAGAGGTGCAGTCAGAGTCTTCTGGGGGACCCTTTGCTTGAATGTTGTTCACACACCGACGGCATTTGAACCTGAGAAAGATGAATGAATTTTCTTAGCAATCAATTATAAATTATTTTACTTGTCGTGGGTATCGCTGAGGGTATTTTTCTCTAACTTAAATAGATCTCTGAGTTCTGATAAAGTAAAGTGGGCACACACGTCCTCTTCCTGGTCCACAACCTTTGAACTGAGCGCCTTTTTGTGTGCCTGCCGTTGGAAGATTTTTTCCTCAATAGTTCCAGTCTGCACAAAAATTATGTTAACGACTAAAAAACGTATCAAACTTTTTAAAATACACAAAGCAGCCTGTAAATGTAGCACTGCTTCTTCTGCCCGTCACGCCAAACACGGGCCATGGCCTGATCGTCATTCGCCGGATTCCAGTCAGGGTCGAACATGACCAGTCGATTAGCTCCAATCAAGTTGAGCCCGCATCCTCCTGCCTTGCTGCTCAGCATGAAAATGAAATCTGGACTGGACGGTTCGTTGAAGCGTTGGACAACCTGGAAATTTTTTATATTATTAAGTTAGCTTATCATCTGCTTATCATATTGCGGAAAAAAATACTTTTGCTCTCTTTTTGATGCTCATAGTACCGTCCAGCCGGACGTACGGATACTGTCGAACCCGACACAGTTTTTCAAAGAAGTCCAGAGTCTGCGTGTAGTTAGAAACCAATACGACTTTGTCCTGCGTGGTCGAGCGTACAATGGCAAGCAGTGTGTCCAAAACAGATACTTTTCCAGACAGCTCAGGGAGAACTTTCCTAGAAATAAAAGAAATTTCATGAAATAATCGCGCCTGAAAGTTTTTAGGAAATCACAAACTTGGGGTCATATTTTTCAGGGAAGAGAAGATGAGCCTTTTCAAAACCCTCGGCACGCTCCTGAATCTTTTCCATGACCAGATCAGGATGGTTGCACAATTTCTTGAGACTTGTGATAGACGATAGGGCAGAGAGAGATGAGCCTTTTTTCTTGCCAGTGTCGCCTTCCTCGGCAGCCATAACTGTTCTTCGCACGGCCTCTGATTTGACAAACTGTTCGTAAAGCTCGGCTTGCTGTGGAGCCAGCTTGCAGCAAACCACATGCTCGATCTTCTTAGGCAGGTACTTTGACAGCAGGGCGGCCGTTCTTCTGATCAGACACCTGTAAAAAAATTAAATGAAACAGAAATAATTCTACTTTTAAACAAAAGTACCTGTTGACGACGCCAATGAGTTTAGCAAGGCATTCCCTGCCCTTTTCTTTGTCCTTGTCAGAGGCGGCAGCGTCCTGACCCTTCAAAATGGGAGTCTCGTACATCTTTCGGAATTCTTGCGCCGTTCCGAGAATTCCTGCGTTCACGAAATGGACCAGGCTGAAGTACTCAAGAAGGTCGTTCTGGATGGGGGTGCCAGAGAGAAGGACACGACGCTTCGCTTTGAGACCCATCAGCGACTGGTATGTTTGGTTCTCACAGTTTTTCAGACGGTGGCCTTCATCACAAAGTACCAAACCCACTTCACCTTTATGCAAGACGTAGGCATGGAGTCGGAAGGTCTCATAAGAAATGATGAGAATTGGATTGGCCGGCCGGCGGCCAAAAGTATTCATGAATCCCTCAAGGGAACGGTCAATTTCTTGCTTTGAACCGCCATCAATTGCCAAGGCATTCACTCGGCCTCCGAGCCACTTGCTGATTTCGTTGTACCAGTTCTATAATATATTATAAAAAAATTTTAATTTAAAAATTAATATATAATATTAAAAATAATAATACTTTGACAAGACTGCTTGGGGCAACAACAATGGCTTTATCAATGATGGGTTTAGCGTCTGGACCTTGCCTTAGCAGTGTCCACATAAGAGTGATGCACTGAAGAGTTTTTCCCAAGCCCATTTCGTCGGCCATGATGCAGCCATACGAGTTTTCAATGCACACTCCAGTCACACAATTGTACATAAATTGTACGCCCTAAAAGCACATAGTTTAAATATATAAGGATAATTTCTAAAATAAATAAAAATACTTCTCTTTGATGAGGTCTCAACACTGCTGTCAAAGCTGGGTCGACAACTACATGTACTTGCACTTTGTCCCTAAAAAAATAAATGAATTTGTGGTCACGCTTATCATAATTAAAGAAATTGCTCTTACTGGTCTATTTTTAGTTTTTCATGGGCTGTTATCTCCGGAGGGTAATAAAGAACCAGGGCATTTGGTTCGTCGGGATCATGCAAGGCTCTCCGCATTCCACTCCTCCGGTATCCCAAACATCTTGACCCGTACCCAGGAGTGTAGTTCACCATGGGCACCTTGAAGGGCCGACTCAGGATGGCCTTAATCATCTCCTCCTGCATTTAGTTGATTATTTACATATATTTCATCACAGGATTATAAAAAAAAACATAATTTTAAATTTACATGGAATAATTAGTTTCATATCAATTAATACATATTACGAACATGTTTGGACAAATTCTCCTGAGTTGGAGGTGGAGGAAGAGGCTGCATTGGCTGCAGGGGTTTTCTATTTCGTTTGCCCTTTCCTTCATGTTCAGTCAGCAAGGGTCTTTTGCCCAGTTGACTGGGAGCCAGACTTCGTCTCTGAAATTTAATACATAGACTCATAAATGAAATAGACGAATTGTTTTGTAAGTAAAATACTAACCATGTTTTAAGTTACATAAATTGTTGCCTCGAAATTTACAAGAAGAAACCTCTGCAAGTTAAAGCCATTGCAAAAGAGCGGGCTTCCAAATCCTCAAATCGTCAAATGAAAATGTCCTTACAAAAAATACAGAAGGAACATCTAGATTATACTAAATTAATAATAATACATTATTATTTTTTAGCAATCCCCGCAACATCTGGTCTTTCGCGCCCGTTTTCTGGGATAGCCCACTTTTCCCACTTTTCTAGGAGGTTCTAAAAACCTCTCCCCCTTCAACTCAAAGAGGTTTATTTTTATCCCGAGAAAATATTTGTTGATCAGCAGCGCGCGCTGCGCCATGTAAAAGTGGTTGAACGGGTTAAAGAAAGTTCAATTCGCAGCACAGCATTTTTACGAAATAATGTAGTCGTTTAAAACTATAGAATTTAAATATTTCATGCGATTTTGTGACCTCTGGTGAACATAGACTAGAACTGACTTTATTTTACCATTTTTCACTCGATGAACACTTGTCAAGTGGGTATCCAAAATATTTATATTTTGTTCATGTCAACATTTTAGGAAGTAAAGTTGATTCAAAATAAAAATAAATGTATTTGTAGATCCCCATGGACGCCCTCTTACCGCCCCTGGATCCCGTGAACATCGTGGAACTGACAGCACCACTTGAATTCAACAAAAATCAGGAGAGCATGGGTGCAAGTGGGTCATCCCTCCCTGACAATGAGACCATCAGCAAACCTGTGGGTCCTCAGTTCGAAGCAGAACTACCACCTTCGCTACTCTCCTTGTGTAATGAAGATGCTGTACAGCCACATGCCTGTGAAGAACCTGTCCACCCTGCTGAACAAGTCTTTTCAGCAGAAAAGACCGAAACCGCTGTAACGGTGGAGGAAGGACAACCTTCAGCACCTTTGAAATCTACCATAGGAAATTTAGAACGTCTTATAGTAGAGTGTCTAAGCACTTCTCCAGCAGATGAAAATGAAACTGCTGTCCAAGCACAAGGAAAACGTGAAAACAATCAATCCAAGCAAAATGGTTTCACTCGCCAAGCAACTTGGCAAGAGAATCAGATTGAGAGAGACGCAGATGACAGGATGGCCATCCAGAGTGTGTACATAGACAAGCAGGAACCCTTGATGCCAGTTGAAGTGAACAAAATTCCGGAAGAACAAGAAGTCTTAGAAGTAGAAGGAGATAGTGATCTTGAAACGGTTGGATTTTGCAAGGAATTCTTTTTTAAATTCGCCCACTAATTTGAATTTCTATTCACAGACGGAGCCAGTCATTAAAGAGTGCAGGGTCGTGGTTGATAGGAGAGTGGTATGTGTTAAAATTATATGTACAATTTTTTTGTGCGGTCCCATTTTGTACGAATGAATGAAAAATCCACGCTCAAAAAATTGATTTGGTGGTTTTCTAAGTAAATATTATTTATTATTATTGTAGATTTTTATTATTTTGATTTTATAATCAAGCTTAATTTCTAAGAATAAAATCTTCTATTTTGTTAGAAAATTATTTCTTAAAATTTCCCTATCGTAGATTTTTTATTTCTATTTTTAAATCATTGTTTTCCCACTTTATAAACAGAGTTGTATTTCTTTGGCTCTTTTATTTATATTTTAAATTTTTTTCATTGGCACTTAAATTTGCTTACTTAGCATTATCATTTTAAATGTCAGCAAATAAATGCCTTTCCACCTCGTAAGCAAGTAATTTTGCTTCTTCTAACTTTACTCCACGTTACACATCCTTGAATTATGGGTTCCTTTTGTAGTAAATTTTTGGCACATAACAAAGAATTATAAATCCTCAACATCACTGAAACTTACTCCTGTTCATTTATTGTCTTGCCACTGCAATGTTATTGGGGCGCTAGTTATTTTTGTTTACGTCAGACAAGTAGTTGCAATCAGTTAAGTATACCGAGGAGAGGTCTAGAGCAAGTCAACATCTCGTAAATTTACCCAACAAATTGTGTTGAATGCTTTCGAAAATACCAGATTGTTCGTCTTTTTAATTCAATTGTGATTCTTGTTTTAGGTTGCCAGGTATTTCTACAACATGAAGAAGAGGAAAAGGCGGCAGCTGGAGCGTGAAATGGCCCAACAGGAAGAATCGAATGACGTACCCACGGACTCATCGTCAGGAGCAGATAGTCGATCTCGTCGGGAGAGCACCCTGATGCAGGAGAAGAGCGCCCGCTCCGTCATTCTGACCCGGGTAAAATGCAAGGAGTGTCAAGACAGCTTCCTGGGTTCGCAGAATCTTCGTAATCACTTTCGAGTGAAGCACTTGGATAACGAAGATGAAGAAATCTCCGAGTGCGGCCGCGTCGTACAATTCCAGTATTGTCCCCTGTGTAGTCATCGGTATCGAATGAAAGGAGATTTTGTTCGACACATGTTCATGCAGCACAAGATTGGCAGGCAATTGTTTGAAAAAGTTGATTCCTACAACAGAGAGATGGTGGCCGAAGAAGTTGCCAAACGACTGCAGAAACAGATTTCCAAAGAAGAAGCCAGTGCCTTGAAAAAGGTCGAAGTGGAAATCGCTTCTATAAGGAGGACGGAACGCAAAGCGACGACTATCTTGCCGGTGGTTGAAAAGGTTATATTTGACTGCCAACACTGCCCCAAAAAATTTGATATTAGAGGCAGTCTCTCCAGGCACATGACCTATGCCCACCCAGAACTACGAGACGAGTATTTGAGGAATATTATTATGCAGGCACAGGCTCCTGTGCCAAAGAAGCCCATGGCAGGGCCAAAATCGGCGCCTTTCCGTCAGAAAGTGGTTCCCATGGCCAGCGCGATCAAGGCTCCTCCACCACCTACCCCACCTGTTGCCAATTTCTTCAGTTGCGAGTGGTGCCGCGACCGCCTGAAGACAACCAAGCAACTCAACACCCATCTTAGGTCCAAACATAGCATGCCGGAAAACATGAGCCCTGATGGCTGCAACTTGCCAGAATTTTTCACAGCCCTAGAGCTACACTTTTATGTGGTTGAACAGGAGGAGAACTGCTATGAGTGCGTTAGCTGCAAGGAGACGTTTGCTGAGAAAGTCGGACTTCTTGAGCATTTTTCTGGTGAGTTTACTTTTAAATTTCTGCAACGTGTAAAATCAAAGCAACTAAATTTGTAATACCTTTAAGAAATGATATGAAATTTAATTCATCTCTTTAATTCCAATGTTACAGGTGAGCACTTGAAGAGCAAAGTGGAAGGGATGCAAATAAAGCTGGAGTGCGGCGTCTGCAACCATAAGGATAGTGACGTGCGAAACCTGCATGATCACATGTGGAACGAGCACGCCAACCAGAAACTTGAGGAGATTGTAATGCGCGTGGCTGAGGTTCGCAAAAATCACCGTTGCGGGGATGAATGCGCCCTGTTGTGGAAGAAGCCTGTTGTGTCTGTGGTGGCGGCTCCTCGAGCGATGGAGGCCAAAAAGAGGCCTTCGTCGGAGGTGGTCGCACACCCAAGGCCGGAGAAATCCCGTCGCCAAGACTTTTCCCCTGTAACGCCACAGCAGCGCCAGTTTGACCCAAGCATGGCTGACGACGATGAGGATCTGCGGCGGATGGAAGAATTGGAGGAGCAGGAGCTGCTGAAGCAACAGCAGTTGTCCGATAAGCGTCGGGAGGCGTACAACAAGTACAGGAATAAGTTGAGTTCAGCAAAGCAGAGGAAAAGGGAAATAAACCAGAAGTACAAGGCAAAAAAAGCGCAAATTAGAGCAGCGGCAGCAGCACAGGCACAAAATGTTGCCAAGGTTCAGTCCAAAGTCGTTCAATACGAGAACAAAACGCTCGCAAACAAAGATGTCTTCAGGGTGAAACGCTGCTTATTGTGCCAGGTGCCTTGTGAAGATGTGGAAAAGCACATGGAAGAAGTTCACATGTCCTCCACTGCCAACATTAAGAAGTAATATTTGTTATTTCTTTTCTATGTTGCAATTTTTTTTAACTAATCACAAAATTTCTTACAGAAGTATTGAGGCAAGGGTTAAAACTCCAATCAAAGTGCCACCCCAGCCAGTCCGGAAGCCAAATAACTCAAAACCTATGCCACTGAGCAAAAAGAGTGCCACTCAATCTACGACAAGTCTGGTTCGTTGCAAAAAATGCAACATCTCATTCCCAGACATTGTCGCCCTGATGAACCACAGAATAAATTGCATGTTCAGGTCACCAACCTTTGCCACCAGCACCTCCAGTTCCACGAGCACTCACCCTCCTTCAGTCGCAACTCCTGAATCTTCTAAAAAGACACAACAAGCAGGCGCCCAATTTGTTCTAATGGAGGACGCTGTGGGTCCGTCATCCTTTAAGTGTCAGTCGTGCAGGAAAAATTTCACTTCAGTTGGGGAGTGGCAGGCACACATTCAGGAGAAGCACTTGGACGAAGTCATGTGCGAATTGTGCAACATGCCCTTCAAAGACGAACTCACCCTTGGAAAGCACATAAACCGCCAGCATGGGGTCAGCTACCCTTGTGTGGCGTGTGGCAATCAATTCTCAAATAAGAAGCTCTTTATCCAGCATGTATTTCAGGCGCACAGGGTAATTATTAATTATAAAGTAATAAATAAGCACATTTTTTTTTTTTTTAATATTTTCAGCTTAACAAACAGCTATTTGCCAAAATTTCACTGCTGAACTTGGACCAGATCGCCAAAATTTTTGAATCTCAAGGCTTCACTGCGTCTGAAAGGTTTGTCCTTAAAAAGCTCCTTTATTCGGTAATAGACTTGACCAATGCTTAACTAGATCAAATGAACCAGAGGTGAACCTAAATTTGTTGGAACCTGAAATCAAGTTGGAATCCCCAGACATGCCAGTTGTGTACCAATGTGAACTATGTGACGCCTGCTACTCGACTCCGCAGGAGATCAGATACCACATGAGTAACGTTCACTAATCAAGCCATCTCTAGCAAATGCCTTAATTATATATTTTGCACTTTTATTTACTGCATTTTCTGTTAGGTTGGCATTTAACAGGAAGATAACGTTTTGCCAATTTATTTTTATTTCTGGAATTGTGTAGTCAATGTATTATTTGATGAAACAAAATATTGATCATAAATAAATTTAGTAAACACAAGAATTTAATATACCAATTTAAAAAACCCTATTTGATCAGATTTCAAGAGTCTTTGTTAAGAGAAACAGTCGTAAATTTCTAGGTATAAATTGTTAAAGGTGATCAATAGATGGCAAAGGTTTGGATTTTCATTTGGAGTGACTTCTCTCACTGGGGCTTCAAGTGCATGGTTTTATTTTGCTTAGCTGGCTGGGGGGCCTTCTCATTAAAGTTAAAAAATTCAATGATAACAAAATAAGGAACATGGTACAATCTCCAAAAATATCTAAATTTTATTTTTATATTGCAACCCATTACTTAAATTTTTTTTACAAATAAGTAAAATAATGGAATGGCACTTTGATTTGTTCATTGGTTTCAATAATCAACTTCCACCTGTTTGGATTCGGCTAAGTAATTCTTTGCACTTTTCGCCATTTGGCCCTGCAGCCCTAGTACTCAAATATTGAAGGGTATTTGCCTGCAAAATACAATATCAGCATAAATGATCTAAAAATTCAAAATGCACTCACAACTGAGCTTGGATCTTGTTTTTTGTGCCTGTGACTCAGATCCCAGAGCTTCCCTGCATACTTTAAAGAAATCGGTTCTCTCAAGTCAGTGAATGTAATTATCCTATTTAAAAGCGCTAATGAGAGACTAGCCTGAAAATTTTTTTAAACAATATATTTAAAAATACATGATCTAGAAAAAAATCAATAGTAAAAAGACAATTACTTGTTTGTCTAGATTTCCATTTTCGTCGTAAATGCGCAATTGAGAGAAAATTTCTTCAACCACGACACCGCATATTCTGTTGATTTCCGATACAAACTTTGGATCAGAACCATAGAGAGCATCATTTGAAGCAACTAAACAAACAGACATTAAAACCAAAATCAAAATAGCTTTTAACAATAACCCTTTTCAATATGGTAAGGATAAGATTCTTGCGTGGCTGCAGCCAACAAACTTAATACTTGAAGGTAGAGATTCATTTTGGAAGCTGGATTTTCCCACTCGTAGTGCTGGATACAATTTAACAACCCTCTGGTAATATAAAGAACACCTTGCTCTGGCGGATCCTTTGGCACAAGTCAATTTAAATAAAGGCTTTTCATAATTTGAGAGTTAATCTTACTGGCACTATAAGCAGAGTTGACATGAAATTCGACATGTAAGACACAAGAAAGAAATCTGAGCTCTTTTGTTTTCCATCCTCTTCAATTGTCTTAGGAAATTCTAATATCAAGTTCAGGGCAGCTTTGAAGCAAGCGTCGGCTGTAAATATGAAATTTAATAAATAAAAAATTCACTTTATATTTAAATTACCTTGGCCCAAGCACTGATTGGATAACGCCACTTGTCCAGACAACAAGTATAATTCTAGACGAAATATCACACTGAAGATGGAAGGCACAGTAATGAAGCAGTAAGCTGCACAGGCCCTGACGAAAGAAGCAGTCTTCCTGGTATGGTGACCTCCGACAATTTTCTTCGTTTTTACAGCAAGGTGGTTCACACACTGTAATAATGAATGTGTTAATTGACATATGAAGCTAGTCCGTGATTTGTGCAACTCTCACTTGAACAAGCTGGACATGAATGTAATCCAAATTTGTAAATGCCGCCCTAGCATCAACATAAAAATTGAGCTGCAACTCAAAATCTCGACCAAAATCAACTGATTTAACAAAGCCACAAATCAATTGAGCAATTTGCCGTTTCTCGTCGTCCACTGTAAGGGCACTGTGAATTGGAACAAAATTTAAAGATTTGAATTCAGTTTACAAATATAAATTACTTCACAGAGTCATGAAGAACTCGGCACAGAAACATGACACTATTTATTACAACAGGGTCTCGAACCGAGTCTTGCTTCTGCCTACAGTAGGCTTCCATGATAGATTTGCAAACTTCAACTTTGATTGTTTCTTTGTGGAACATGTCAATGAAGGTTAAAAATTTATCCTGCAAACTTGTGTTAAGTCTTATTTTTTAACAGAGGTGAACGTTTTACCATTCCAAATAAAATTTCAGGATCGTGAGTGTTTCTCAGCAAAATTGTCACTACTGACTGCATTTGGAGGTAGTGGTTTTCAAAAGCTCTGTTAGGGGTTAAGTGACGGATCATGTCATGGAGGATTGCATTTACTTCGGCTTTCTGAAAAATTTAAACGGAAAAATAATTTTAATAATATAAGGGCTGTAAAAATTTGTTAAACTTCCTTACTCCAAAATATTTTACGGCAAACTCTATCCACACTTCTGCACAAGCTGCGTAGTGGCTGACGTCAGACAGCCGACTGACAATTTTCCAAACTGGGTTCAAAAGTGGAAGATGTTGTTCTCTAGGGGGCTCGGCTGCTACGACACAGAGGCCCAGTGTGCGAAATAAAATGTACTGAGGAAATCCTAAAATTCATTTGATGTCATTTCAAACTTTGGAACAATGGACAATTATGAACATTTACCATCATCATCACAGCCAGTTATCAAATCAACAAACTGGGTTGCTCTGGCTGCTATGTACACAGCCTTGAAAGCAACCATCACTGAATTGAGCACCAAACCACTAAAATTCAACATTAGGAAAATATATTTTAGAGATAATATAAGAATTAACCTTTTAACATTTAGATTCTTGCAAATATTCAAAACATCAAGAAGCTGCTCCTCTGTCCCTGGGTTAGCAGCAAGTCGCAGGATCCAGTCCAGGGCAGGTGTGTAAAGGGTCAAATAGCTACCCATGTCCACCTTTTGTCTCAACAGCTCAGCTCGAACACTTCGGCAATATAGCTGTAAAAGTTGCGATTAGAATTCAGTTCACTTAAATATGCCTAAAAATTAGTACTTGTTTGTGGGAAGCCAGGAAATCATACAGGTTTTCATGAATGTAAGCCCTGTCTCTGGTGATGGACAAACCCACTCGGCATAGATAGCACCTTGCATAAACAGCAACTAAGGGGTCACCGATGCCACGGATCATTGCGGTGAGGCGCAAAAGTGCTTGAGTAAATTCACTGGAATCAGTTTACTTCATTATTATCATCCTTAAAAAAAGTGAAAATAGAAAAGTCTAAAGGAGGCATCAACAGTAATTATTTTTCTTTGAAAGTTGTCTTAGCAATGATTTTCTTGTAAATAATAATAAACCTAGAAATATTTTATTTTTACCTAGAGGTGAGAAAGCTGTAGGATCTGAGGATGGCAATTTCAACATAAAATCTTGGCACCAATTCCCTGATTGAGGCAATTTTATAAAACCAATTTCGACAGGTCTCTTTTGCAGCTTCTGGAACCATGTCAGGTGTGAAGTCAACTGGAAGTCGCCCACGCCTGTTTACAAAATAAATATTGGCTTCCCCACAATAATTTAATATTCAAACTTACGTTTTGTTTCCTTCAGCTTTGGAACGTAGCCGCTCATGCACCAATTGACCGAAAATATCTAGAATATCGGTGACTAGCACAAATTTGCTGGGATAAAATTGGATTACGTTTGTGTCTGCCAGCAACTTTGAGCACTAGAATAAAAGTATAATTAAAAAGTTATTTGGTTGGTTTTTGAAAAATCTTCCATACCTGAATAGCGATTTTGAGAGCTTTGACCCTCTGATCGGAATTCCATGCTTGTTTTAACTCAGCATTCAGTTGTTCAATTCTGGCTGTATACTCGCCCTGTGTCAGATCCCCCTCTTCGCAAACAGTTCCCTCCTCAAATTCATCTAACTGTTCCAAACGGTTTTTCACTTTCTCAATCGTTGCATTTTGAGGTGGAGCAACAGCTTGAGGTCTTGCAATCACTGTAAAATTAAGTTAATTAATTTAATAATCATGAATCGTCAATGTCTACCTTTGTCCCCTCCTGACAAAAAGCTTGTCATGATGGACAATTTTTCAGAGGTGGTAAACCTTGACAAAATAGCTGATTTCCTTGCCGTCCACTCTTCCTGAGATACTTCCTCATCGAGGTTTTCCAAGTTTTTTCTTTTAGTCTCAGAATGATCCCACTTGAATTGTAAAATAACAAAATCAGGATTGTACTCATATTACATAATTTGCCTTCAAACTCACAGATATATCTTCAGCTGCCATTTTTGAAAGAGGATCCTGCTCCTCTTTGGCAAATTGGCTAAGAGGATCCATTCCATCTAGAGCTGCTCCGAGAGGATCAGCTAAAACTGCAGTTACACTCCTGCGGGGTTGGGCATTTCCTGGTGAAGACAAATTTGTGCTACTGTTTTTTCTTATGGATTTACTTTCTGTCACCTTTGAAAAAATTTAAAAAAAAAATCTTTAATTATGATAATGATAGTTGAAATTAATTAATACCGGTCCTATGAGAGGTCTCAATGGATGTTCAGTCACACCTTCAAGATGACTTCTGAAGAACTTCTTTTCCAGCTGAAAATCTCTTTTCCTTGGCACCCTACAATACATAATTAATTTCATGGTATACATATATTAATAAAAATAAATGAAAAGCCAATACGGTTCATTGCTTATTAATAATATTTTGACATCCACCACATCAAAACATTGTACATAATTTATGTAATCTTACCACTCGAAAGAGCTTGACTTGGACATTTTTCTCCAAGCTTGAAGATCAGATTTTCACTGAAAATCTTTTTGCTGACGATTCCGACTCAACAAAGTTTAAATGCTTATTAACACAGGCATCTTCTGGGCTCCTTGGCGTTTATACTTTTTATGTTACAATAGTTAACAACTGAGAAAGTGAGAAAGATTGTGTCAAACTCGATGGTGAACAGATAGGAAGTACATAATTATTTAGTTACAAAAAAGTAAATAGCTACGCCCACAAAATCTCTATTCTGATTGGACAGCATTCGTCTAACAGCTTGATTCTTATTGGTTTCACGTGACTGCTAGACGGCATCCGATTGGTCGATATCATGGCTGACACTTTCCGATTGGCTCATTTAGAAAAAGCGGTCAAGATCTGAAACAATTCGAAAACGTCATTTTTGTAACGGAAACGGGCTTGAACGCACCGGCCCGCACAAAATCACAATAAATAGACTTGTCTCTCTTCGTCTCAGTGTACGGGACATGACAGAAATAACGTGTTTTATACTTGAAAGCAGGTAAGAAAACTAAGAAATTCTAATGCCCATACCAATCCAAAATATTTAGTGCTGGTATGGTTCAAATTCTCATTTTTTGTTAACGATTTCGGCTAGCAGCTCGCCAGCTCCAGCAGCCCAGCATAGATCTAAGATTTCTGCTAACACCTTTACTTTGCACACACAAAAAATTATTTTATCGAACTGCTCTACACATTTAAATTTTTTTAATTTGCATTTGCAGTGATTCCTCGTCCGTCTAAGATGTATCAACACACCATGCCTGCTTTAAAAGACGAGGGCAGGGATGAGCACTCTGGTCATTCCGGACATCAATGGCCAACTCAACCATCTTCAACATTGCCCAGATCTCGCAGTTTTTTTGCCAGGTATGTGCAAATTAAATTTTATTAAGTCAAACGGCTGCTTATTTTTAAGTTTTTTTTTATTTATTTTAATCCTCTGTTATTTTTAGATTGACTCAAATGAATAAAAATGGAACTCCAGCAAACTCAACATCATTTCCCAACGAATGTCCAGAAGCTGGTAATGCTAAGGAAAATGAACAGGCAAGAAAGCCTCTCCTTCGCTCACCATCCTTACCGTCTCTCCGAGTGGACATCTCTAAGGACGTGGGTCAAGTTTGTTTGTTTGAAAGCCCCATCAAGCAAGAGCTGCAGAGAAGCAATAAGCACGCCAACGAGGATGCTCCTCTGCGGCGTTCTCCGTCTGTATCCTCCCTTAAAATGAGCAACAGACATGGGAGTCCCATTCCTCAGCACATTAATAGTCGAGCCACTCCACTTCCAAAAAATGTCGCTCAAAACAATGCTCAGAACACTATGTTTGACGTGCAGACACCCTCTCAACCAAACATCAGTAGGGCCAATCAAATGCACAGCTCCACAAGGGCACCTCTTCAGTCCATAACACCTCTAAATCGTAGAGAGGTAATTCACTCGAACCATATTACGCTGGGTGTAAGTATAGTTAATTTTCAGATCATTCATAATCTGCTTTCAAGAAAATCAGCTTTTTTCTAAAAGCATTTTAAATTTCTTATATACATCTATAAACTTTTCTGCTCAAATTAGTAATTTCTTCTCTTATTTGTGAAGCGTGGCTTGGCAATAAACACTACATAGATTATTTTTTTATTTTCTAGTCTCACAAAAAAGACCTTCACATCATTGACAAGGAAAATGTTCAGAATTACACAAATAAGAACTTGCCCAACCTTGATTGCAAAGAGCCGACACCTGAATGGAAAAAGGAGATCCTGCAACAGTTTATGGAAACGTCTCCAGCTGCTATGAATAACTTTAGCGCCAAGCGACCTTGCGCAGCACCTTCATCACTCTGCACAAAAGCTGCTCGCACTCTTTTCCACTCGTCCTCGCCTGATGTTCCAGACAGCGTAGACATTTTCAGAGATCATGTGCAAACGATTGAGCAAGGAAACTTATTCTCCAGCAGCAAACAGTCATTCCAGGCCAACCACATTTTACACAACACGCCTGTCCCAGCAAAGAAGACATTCCCCCAGCAAAAGGAGCCGTTTGAGTTCAAACAGCCAATTTTGCCTCAGCAGAAGCTCAGACAGGACAGTGGAGACCATGACTATATTGTGGTGCATGACATTCCATACAGAAAGGGAGAAAGACTGGGCAAGGGAGGTTCTAGTGAAGTTTTTCAGGTATTTATTTCTTCCCAAAAATATTTATTTATTCTATAATTTGTTTTCAAAGGTCTTTCGAATGTCCGACGATAGTGAATTTGCACTGAAAATTGTCTGCCTCAAGGAATCGGATGAAGCCACCAAGAAAGGTTTCCTGAACGAGATAAGTCTTTTGGCCAGAATGCAAGGATGCGAAAGAGTCATCCAACTCATAGATTTGTAATTTCTCTCAACTGAAAACTGAGAAAGCATTAATAACTTTCTCTATCTCTAGTGAGCTGTGTGAGGATAAGGAGGTGCTATTTGTGATCATGGAGAAAGGGGTGCGTGACTTGTCGGCGTTGCTCAAGGACCGCGCAAAGAGGAAGGACATGCGCGTCAGTACGGTCGAAGCTTTTTGGAAAGACATGGTTGCGGCTGTGGCTGCGATCCACGAGCAAGGTAAATTTATTTGGCAGAAAAGTTTGTAATCCTGAAAAATTATCCATTTAGGAATCATTCACTCCGATTTGAAACCTGCAAATTTCCTCTTGTTTGGCGAAGTTGGGTTCCACCAACTCAAGTTGATTGATTTTGGCATTGCCTCATCAATCCAAACTGATATGACCAGCGTTATTAAAGAACATCCTGCGGGCACTTTTAACTACATGAGTCCCGAAGCCCTCCAAGGGACCAATGTAAAAGTAAGCTAAAATTATAATTTAAAAAATCATTTGGTTTGCTGATTTTATAATTTTTAGATCAATTTCAAGAGTGATATTTGGTCTCTGGGCTGCATTTTGTACTGCCTCCTGTACGGTGTGACACCATTCCAACACATCAAGAACTACCAACAGAAGACCGCAGCAATCTGTGACCCAAACCACGTAATCCAGTTTCCAGAAAGAAGCCCTAATATGTTAGAGGATGGCCTGATTCCTCTCCCTCTTCTTGAAACGGTCCAATTGTGCCTCTCCCATAACCCTGCCGACCGACCCTCGGCCAAAGATTTGTTGAAAATCAAATATTGTGGCTGCGAGAAGCCAAAACCACAGAAGCCACATTTGGGTGAGTAATTTTTATCGACAAGGTAATTAAATGCTTAATCAAATCAACCTTTAGACATTTTAGCCCACGGACTAGCCAGTCTTGTGAAGGAGCATCCCTTAGGCAAGCAGCTGGCACCTTTGTTGATTTCTGCTCTTGCAAAAGCCAACGAAAATCAATAATTGATTCCAACGTTACTGAAACCAGTGCATTTTGTTTCTCATGTGTGACTGAATTAAATTTAATGGAACAATAATATAAGCTTGATTAGTGGATTACTGTGCTACATAAAAATTAAAAATAAATAAAATGTAAGAATATTATTATATAGTTTAACAATTTAAACATCTTTTTTGTTAATAGATTTTTTTATTTAATATTTTCACCTCGATATAATGCTATACAGCAAATTTTTAAAGTAATCATGCTACCAAACATGTCACTTCATTAAATATATTGCATTTTTTTACAATATCCTTGAAATTCAACAACATGCACAAACATAATTTTGTCACTTAGTGATCATTGTTCTTTATAAATATAATGCGTCTGCATTGCATTTTGATAAATTGTCTCGTAAGTAACATTATCGATCATTTGATTAATATTGCACAAAATATTTCAAACTTGTGTTCTGGGTGCATTACAGTACAGTCATTAAAAATACTTTCCTGGTTTGGAAAAAATTGTCTTTACAACACTTTGAGTCTATTAACTGGAATGAAAAATTATTTTTACAATTCTAAAATGAGTAATACCCAACTTGGATGAGTAATTTTATAAAACTAGTTAAAGGAACTTAGCATAGCGGAAACGGAGAGAGTTCATTAATGGCAAAATACAAAAATTATTATCTGGTCTTTTTAAGCATAAGTAAAAATGGAAAACTCAGTCCAATTTATAAAAATCAAAAGCAATAGATAAGAAAAGAATTACATTTCTACATAAAGGCCACAGTTGATGGCTGGATTGCAAATAAATGCATATATGGATTTTCATTACTTGAGATTTATAATGTAAAATATAAGAGATTTTGTGAAATTAAGTTATCAAACTTTTCTTTATAACGCATTTGTCTAACATCCTTGTCAACATTTAGCTGCGGGCAGGCGGTGGGCTACGGTACTTGGCGCGGATGTGCAAAAATCCTTCACTGGGCGTAGCGGGCGAAGAGTTGCGGGGAGTGTTGTTGGCCAGGCCGATGCGGTTTATACCACTTGATCGGCTGTTACTGCGCGAGTTGGCCGCTGAAGAATCACCCCTACCCAGCACACGAACCTGACAAGGATCGTGGCGCTCCAGGAAGTGTTCCAGCGTGTCCCAGCCGCCACCCACACGGACCATCATGTGCCGACCTTTCAACAGCTTATAAATGCATAATTAATTAATGAAAACTTTCTTCAAATAATATCATCATTAAATTGGAATGCATAAATATATATGATGATATTAACAATTATATATTTAAGAAAAATGTATAAAAACGTTTGCAAAAAATTTACAGTGCATTTATTAAAATTTACTTACTCTGACAAAAACATTTCGTCCTGCAATGTTGTACTTTCCACCTCCAAGGCGTCTGACCATGAGCTTGTTGGTGCATTTGGGACTCTTGGAGTCTCCGTCTGCACCGTCACTACCTTCGCAGCGACACTGCTTCCTTGCAGCCTTGGCGGCCTGTTCGACCTTCCTGTCCAATTCACTTAGGCCTTTGTTGGTCTTTCGCTCCTCGCAAGGCGTTCGGCTTCTCAGGTCTGAGAGGCTGCCATTCCTTGTGCGACCTGACCGAGAACTTGTGTCTGGCTCGATGGCGTCCTCAAGCAAAGGCAGGGTGGCTCGCCAAGTGTCCGGTTCCTCGTCCTCTTCGCCGGCACTGCCAGGACGAGACCAGCGGCCGCTGCTGCCAGGAGAGCCCAGAGATAGCACTGACGATGAACTGGAATTTTTGTAGAAATTAAAAACTTGGAAAATTTAACAAAAATTATAAGAGCACAAAAATTAAATTAATATCATAGTTTTTTAGATAAATAAATTATTTAAGTTATTAATAACGGCAGGAAGATTTCGCTTTTAATATAGCAGTGCAATAACTTTTTAATTGTTACCTTGCGAGTCTTAGTTTGTTCTTGTCGTCCTCCTCTTGTAAAGGTCGAGTCGGTGACTGTGGCCGCCAGGACATAAGAGACGCAGCGGACAGCCCAGAGTCGGACAACGCTGTGCCAGGTGCTGGTGACATTCTGCTGTTGTTGAAGGGAGACGAGCATTCCGCGATTTCTCGTTCAAATTGAACGAGTCCTGAAGGCTCAACTCCAAACTTGGACGACGCCAACCTGGACACTTCTAGCAGACAGATGACCACATTCCTGGGAGCTACGTGCATCACTAAAACAATTAATACATCTTATAATTTTCTGTCATTTATTCCATTAAATTTTTTAATAGAAATAATTTTCAGAAAAAAAATTATGCTGTGATAAGATTTCAAAAATAATTATGATTATATGATTTTTATATAATTTATTGACACTTACCTAAATCATCCGACTCAAAAATGAGATTTTCATGTACTCCTAATTGCCGGCAGAATTTAATGAAATTTTCGGAGTTGTCCCTTGAGAAGAAGCTTCTTTTTGCAGCTTTTTGCCAAATTCGGCCACTTAGTTTTGGCACAGGCTAAAAATTAAGTAATGAAATTAATATTAAATTAAGATCCTTTGATTAATGAAAAAAATAGTAATAAAATAAATTACTTTTTTTAAGTCTATAAATATTTCTCTTACCCCTTTAGCTCGACATTCATCCACAGCATGTTGAGCTTGCTCCTGGATGGTTTTGGCTAAACGGCAAACGACTAATCCATCGTCGAGAGCGTCCATAAAGTTTAAAGCAGTGACATCGCTTGACTCTAAAATAAAAACACCGGCAAAATGGAATCAAAATTAATTGCAAAATATTAGTAAAAGTTAAATTTTAATATTTTGCTTATTATTAGCGATTACATTAATTGTCTCATTACAACTTAGGGATGGCTCCAAGGGATGGCTCAATTGAGCAATGGAGGTTATTGTTTTTCTGGCGCAGAAAAACTCCCACTGATAAGCGCTCTATTGACGCAGTTTTAATGAGGCCTCTTTGTTCCGCGCGGCCACTTTTTGCTCTGTTTGACAGGCTTTCTCCCATATTTTTTATCCCTTTAATAAAACCTAGTATAAAATCCGGTAAATTTTTATTGAAAATTTTCAGACAAATATTCAGCGTCAAACTGTGAAAAATTATTACTATTTAAATATTACTTTTAATTGATTTTTTTGATTAAACAAGGATTGGGCAACTCGTGCGCATTCCTATTGAGACATGAGCGTTGCCCGGTAAAATTGCAATAAAAATTTTCACAGAGCCCTTTTCGCATTTCTTTTTACTTTGGATAAGTCTGCGCGTTAATGAGTGCCGCAGTGATTCAGACGGAAGGAAACCAAGTAAAAACAATATGTCCAGAGCTGACCGAGCTTAAAGATTTATTTTGCAAAAGAACGATGAGACATGCACGAGACCCTACAAGTGAACTTTAATATTTTCACTAAATTTTCGGCAACTTCAAGGAGAAGACTTAGAAAAGTGGGGAGCTTTTCTGCTTAAAAGCGCGCGTCTGGATGGTTTCAAATTTTAATTTCTATAATTGAAAGACAGCACTCTGAAGCTCAAGTGAATCAACTGTTTACGTCATTACTCATTACATGGCCAATCAAGTGAAAAATGTGTCTGACGCAGGGCTGGTGCGAGTACAATAACAATAAAGAATGGGTGAAATCGATATTGTACCTCACGCGTATGGTCCGTCCCATGACTCATTATGCAACATAATATATACCGCAGCTCAAATTATCTGGCATTATATATTATTTAGTTTTGTTAGAATTGTTGGCAATGAGTGTTGATTATTAAATTTTAATTTAATTTACTTACATCTGAAGTCTTTATTATTCATTGGACAAAGAGCAGCTTTTTTTTAGTGGAATAACTTAACTATAAAGCAGTTTTTTTTTTTTGGAAGTGAAAGTTTTTTGCCCATCTTTCATTCTTTTATATTTGGTTTTAAATTTTTCAATAAATTATTGAGAGAAAAATTCAGTCAATAATTTTGAACGTTTTTTATATTATAATTACATAATTACAAAAATTATCAAACTCACCCAGAAGTTTGTTGAGCCAGTCAGCAAGGTCCTCTTGCAGAGGCAGCAACTGCTTTTGTTGGGCGGTGAGGATTCGCTTCTGGTAAAACTCGACGTACTCTTCTTCAGTTTCGATCTCGGGCGCCGCCGGCACCGTCAGTCGCTGTTCGCGCGCCCCTGGCGCCGACTGGGGTCGCCGAGGAGGCGAGTAGCTGCGGCGGGAGCCCATCATGAAGTAGCTCTTGGTTGGGGTCGAGGTCACTGGGGTGCTGATGCCGCTGTACGAGCGGCGAGCGGGGCTCCATATGTCATGCGGCCGCGACGGCGACACCGGCTGAGTTTGCAGACCGCGACAAAGAGCGCTGCTCATCATCTTGCAGCTGTGAGCACACAAAAAGTTTTGGGTCACATCTAAAATTCTCCAATTCCATTTGATTTTGTAAATATTTGAAATAAAAAATTATATAGTTGCTTTTATAAATTTAATTAACACTTTGATGTTTCTATAATAAAACGTCAAATAATTAATACAAAAATCTAATTTATAAAAACACTGCAACTGCATTTCTGTGTAAGTCCTTACATCCAACAAGACCAAAAATTCAGCATTCATTAAATTTGAGAAAGCCTAAGACTAGAATTGCTCAGACCAACCACAATTTTATTTGAGGTATTAAAATTTAAAACAAATGCATATCCAAATGAGTTTTCTAATCATTGCTTAGACGTGAAGAATTTGGTTTGATATTTATGATAGTTTTTTTTTTATATTTGAGATCCCTCACAAAACTGTCGAAAATTGAGAATGAAAAAAATTTGATTATTTTCACCGACAATTTCCTAATAGTTTGTTTCGTGACGCTCTTGCGTTGCAAGTTCTCAGTGGACAGGTTGCCCTGGAATTTTGTCTATTTTTTTTATGTTCAATAGCTTATTTAGTAACACACATAGACACAGCTTTTTACCCCAGCTTGTTTTTTTCCTGCCCTCACACATGGTTGCTCTGGTGGCACGCAGCTGCCACACATTGCAACCCCTCGCATTTCTCTTTTTTTGCTTCCTGCCCCAACGCAAGTAGATTTCTATACAGCAGACACACGGGGATTGAATGCTTACTGGCTAAGAAGAGAGAAATCTGCGAGGGGACTTGGTGGCTGTACAGAGAGGCAAATGGGATGTTATTAATATGATCGTCTCGCAGAGTTTATGGTCGATTGCGAAGAAGATTTATTCAATTATTTGTTGGAAGAAATTCAAAATGACTCATATTATGGATCGATATGTGCATAGAAATTTGAGAAATTCCACAAATATGATTTAAATTTTGTGTCTGCCTTTTTCATTTATTTAATAACTATAAATATTTTAAAATTATTAATTTTAGTCAGGCTCTTAATAAATATAATCTTCATTCACTTTCAGTACGAAAAGTCAAAGCAATGAAAATAAAAAATTTAGTTCCAGGGGTCACGCCATTGTAAACTATCTTAAATAAAATTACTAAATAAGGTCTAGAATTAAGCGTTGTATAATTCAAAAGTCTTTCCAGGTTTTAAGTGTGCTTTTAGGTGGGAGCTTTCGATTAAATCAGATTTCACTTGCACCTCGTTGTAACAACTTCAAACGCTCTCAATTTCACTCTGTTTCCGCTCAATCAAAAGCATTCTATTCGACTATACGCATAGAAATTTTAAGTGAATTTCTGGCAATGGTGGAGCGACGCCGGCGAAAGCAAACGCTCTTGGCCGAGATGCTCATCATAATTTTACTAATTTATCAAAATCAATTTTTGTTTACATTTCAAGCTAGAGAGGTTCATATTAAATTTTTCCTTTTTTTTAATGTTTTGAGAAACTCTCTGAAGCAGAATACAAAGTCACCAATGAACTAACTTCTCCTTGAGTGCAGCGTGGTATTGCTTGACGTGGGAGGAAAAATTTTGTATTCATAATGTAGGCGTCACACTAACATATTCGATTTCAGAGCACAAAGAAACAGATCGCGTTTCAATCTCAAAATAATCTTTATTAATGTTTATGAAGCCGCCAGACATTTAAAAGACTTGAAAACGCGAGGATGATAATAATTGATGAAACAAAACCAACTATTAATATTTTGACGAGAAAATTTAATTTGTTGGTTACAAGGATTTCATAGAAAAAAATCTTGAATATCAAAGAGATTCGTAGAAAAGAGGCAAAACATTTGCACTAAAATTTTAATTAAAAAGTCTTAGGTAAAATATGGTGAAGTCTCCGCAAAGATTGCTTTTTTAACGAGTCGATTGTAAAAATTTTAAGTAAGGATGAAAATTGCTAAATATTTAATTTTAATTCACTATATCAAACTTGCAAAAGCGTATATTTTTAAAGATTGCACTTTAAATATATATTCAAGAAGTCTGTTTCCTCTGAAAATCTAACAAAGTGAAGTATATTAAACATATATTATTTTGAATCAGAATGGCACAATCAGAATGAATTTAGAATACAATAAAAATTGATGTCTCTTTCACCAATCTACTTTAATATCTAAATTATTTCCAAAATAAAAAGCTGCCTGAAATTCTTGTTGCGGAATAAAATAAATTTTGAGAGTTATGAAACTGAAGTTAATCATAGAAGAGTCATAGATGCAGGGTGGGCAACTAGTAAGGAAGACCCGCATCCGCGCATTAATGCATTCGAAAAAGATTATCATAATAACGATGCACAGATAGAGCAGGGGCATGGCACAAAAAAGTGACAGGAAGCTGTGTTGGATAGGCTTGATGTTTTTGAAAGAGTGGGACGAGGATGGACATAATTCGATAGGGATGCTCTCTCCTCGGAAATACATGTGGGGCAGCGACCGATAATTATCCTGCACGTACTTATTTAATTGTGCGCGAGGCTGAAGGGCACACACACGGTACAATCCGTCGTTGTCGCCGCCGCCGGCGGCTGCTTATCGCTCACGTCCCACCTCTTGCATTGAAATTCCGTGGGTGTTTGAAGAAAGTATCCGGTGCTGTCCTCGATTGAACTTAAGAATTATATTGTTTGTCAGCATGTCGAGAACGCTGCGGAATTAAAAGAAAAAAGAAAGTCGGTTTGTATTGAAAAATGTGTAACTTAAAAAAATTGACTCAAATCAACGGCCAACACGTAGAATGGTATATGGTCGCGTGGCCACTGCACCCGTGGCGGTAACTTACTCGCGTGCACCCAACTATGAATTATCTCTTTAATCATCGCAGCCGGAGCATATTTTTTCCTATAAAGCGCAGGAAGAAGCAGGATATAGACCTCGGCGAACAGGCATAATTATACAAAAAGAGTAAAATAGATCTTTATGTGAATTCAAATAATTTCCATTCACACAAAACACATAAAAATTAACTCCTGATATTTAATTTTAAATAATATAAAAAACAAATTACAAAAAAAATGTCGAAGCTGTCTGACAATGAGCGAAACAAAAGGCCGCTGGATGTCTCTTTGAGATCCACTTAATATACCCACAATTGATTCAGATTAATACAAATTGGTCAAAGAGACACGGTAGAAAATGTCACGGACGTCGAATTCATTAGACTCGCCCACTTAAAAGCCGTGGGAATAAGACGCGCACTGCACATTCCAATTTTATAGCTTACAAATTTTACTGCTATCCTTCCTTATTTGTATTTTACTGCGTCACTTGAAAACATTTTGTTTAAATATAAAGTGCAATGATTCACACACTTTAAATCGTACTTCATTTTGTCATAAAACTTATTTAGAAAGAATCAATCAACGGCATTTTCATCAGTTGGTGCGCATTCGATTTCCGGAGAAAATGTTTCTTGTTACAAATAACCTAAACGCAGTTTTGAGAAGTCATACAAAATCTCATGAACTTTCTCTCTTTTTTAAACAACGAGTCGTAAACTTTGGTTTAAAGATTGTAAAGTGCAGTTCTGTTGAGCGGTCTTTTTCTGAAATCACAACTGCGGGCATTGCTAAGGAAGATATTGTTTTCTTCGAAATATTTTAACTTAGAAAACTAATTCAAAATAAACAAGAAGTTTCAAAATTAAATAAATTATTTTCATAAGTGGCATAGAATCGGAGGATAATTATAATTCAGGTTTTTCTTTTTAAAAACAACTTACCACTCTGATAATTATATTTTCAACAATTCTGCTGTGAAAGTATTTTTGGTTTAAATAATTGAAAAATTTCTGAATGGACTTTAATGTATTATAACTATTTTTATACAGAAAATGCGTTCTTCAAATCTTCTTTTCATAAATAGAAACATGACAAAATATTAAAATAAGATTATTTCAACGCTGATCTAAAATTCTTGAAGCTTTTTGCTGAAGAGCATTCAAGCTCAAAAATTCCATTTAAATTTTAAACGAAATAATACCAAAACTTAAATAGTGCCATCATTTCGACTCTTGCATAAGAACTTATACCTATCATTTCAAACTTTCTTCAGCTTTCATTGATTCATGTTTAATTTTATGCAGCTTCAGATAATCACGATTTATTTCAAAATCTCGTCAAATTATGCATTCCACTTTTTTTAAGGAAAAAAAGTATATGACTTTCAATGGATTCTAATTCTTCACTTGCACATTTTAGTAAAAGGAAATATAAATAAATTGTCGAAATAATTTTTGTTTTTAGCCTTCATATGCATCTCTTCTCATGAGTTTTTTATCTGCCGATTCTTTTTTCCTAGTACAAAGAAAAGTAAAATTAAATTAATAAAAAATTCTGATATTCTTAATTACATGGCTTTGCTCTCACTTCAATGCATCCCTGCTCATGATACAAGGATAAATATTTTTTTTTCATAATGGGCATAATGTGCTCAATGATTGGTAGTCGTCGAAAATGTAACGTTCCAAGGTGGTTTTTCGTGTGGCTGGAAATTTGTAGAGCCGCACTCAGTTTGTGTGTTCGTTTTAACGGTGCGCGGTTAGAGCCCTGTGAGGTCACATCCGGCGTGCTTCAGGGCTCAGGGCCCTAGCACCGATTATTGGTTGACGCTTTTTTCTATAAATTTCAGGTTGTTCATCAATGTTATTAAAACTTATTAATTTCATTTGTTATTTGGAAACAATAATTTCTACCATGAAATTAAAAAGGTTAAATCCAATCAGGATTCACAATTTTTTTTTATTTTGTATAAGAAAACGCAAGAAGATTTTATTAAAATAAATAATGCACAAAACCTGTGATTAATTAAAATGAATAGGTTGCTGGTTTTCAGCAGGTTTTCAGTTTAGTTTTATTTAATATTTTGTTATATTAATTTGGATGAAAAATGTTTTGTATTATTTTTAATTTTTTATTAATCTGATCTGAATGGAGAGTAAAAAAAATCAATCTTGTGAGAAGAAGAACTTGATTAATTTTATTCCAGAAAAGAAAAATTCGCCTAAAGAGAGGGCTGCATTTATCTAAAGGAAGGTCATGACGCGTCTTGACCCAAGTCCCTTGGCTAGTTTGTGAACTATCAAAAACACTCACACAAAATAAACAAATTTACAAGTTTATCGAATTGCAACTTATTGAATAATACCCTGGCACAAACATCTCCCACACTGATGCGTGCGGCGCCAGATCCAGCGCAGCATCCTTTCTCACCGTGAAAAATTGGGCCAGCGCGAGTTCAAGGGTCTGCGGATCGATTTTCACCCGGCAGCTCACAATATTATCGAAAGGGAAGTGGAATGAGGCTAAAAACCGCCACCATATAATATTCATAACGAGCGACTCTTCGCAGTAAATATAAATTATAGGGGACGTTAAAATTGCAGTTATATAGAGAACAATAAAATACAAAAATGCAGCCTTTGAAACTCGAGTTTTGCAACAAAGTCTGCACCAAAATGAAAATATTGTGCGTTATTTTATGACATCAGGAAGCACGGTTTTCTCGTCGCGATTTCCTTTTGAAATAATTGCACTGCACATTAACACATAATTCGTCAACAGTTATCACGAAAGTGCGGCATTAAATTTTGAAAGCGCTGAAAAGTATAATTTGAATTAAATGTGATAGAAAGAGCAAAAATTAATACGCCTTCTCTACGCCTCACAGAGAGAATTGATTATTCTAGCCACGTTCTGCTTAATTAATAATGATTTAATGATTAACTTGGTGTGGAATTTTAATGTAAAAATATGATGAACTTCACGAATTTAATTATTAATTTATTTTTGTTCAAGTTAAGATGCTATGTTAAATTGGATTATTGTAAGCGAGAAATATATATATTTATTTTAAAAATAAAAATCTCTCATTAAGACTGAGTAATTTTTGAAAGATGTAATTCAAATTATAATTCAAAATATACACTGCAAATAAATTTATCATTTTTCTGTTTTCAAGCAAAGAATCTATGAATCCGAACTACTGTAATTTAAATCTGATTATTTTTAATTTTGTGGAATATAGTTTTCAAGAAAAACAAATAAAATGAAGCAAAGATAATTAAAAAAGCGACGACTGTTGTGAATTTTGAAATGGAACTTAAACTTTTTGAAATTTTCTAGAAATTGTGTTCATAAAAAGCAATGATTTTCTCTCTAATAATTGTTTTAATGCTACTATTGCTAAATAGCGGATCGATTTTCTCTTACATTAATGGAATTATTTGCTGACTGACCTGTCGGGCGGCGCATGGGCGCTATGTCACCGGTGGTGTTCTCCTTGTGCTGAAGTGGACGGCTGAGGTTGTTGTCCAGTGTCCGTTCGGGCAGCAAGTCGCGCTGAGGAAGGGCGCATCACGGGCTTTAACGCGCGTCTCCACCCACTCAGCCGCCCAGCAGCTCTTCGTTCGAAAACTCTACTGACTCGCTCGAGCCAAGCGGAGCGAGCCGAGCACTAGAGCAGCACAAAACCGGGACCAACCGCAGCAGCGCCGCGATTGACGCAGGGGCGCACACGCCGCGACCGTGGCGCCACCGCGCTGCAAAGGCGCCCCCGTACAGGCCAAGGGGTGCTGCACCCCTGCTAGCAGTAGTACCTCTGGTGAATAACCATGTATCGTTGTCCCTCTATAAAATTAAATTTTGACTAATAAACAACATTAGGAAACGACCTCTTTAAAAAAATTCTTGTCTCATAATGCCTTTGAAGAAAAAAACATCTTTTAATTGCATAAGACAATTTTCATGGAGGATAGAGGCAATAATTATTTTCTATATTTCAATTTGCAGGGAAAATCATAAATATTTATCGTTAATTTAATAAATAACTCTGCAGAAACTTTTGAAAATTCAGGAGACCTATCTGCCTGATCAATTTTATCAGCATGGGAAAAAAATATTAGTCCTAAAAGCTGCATTCTTCAGATCGCATTAATCTTAACATTACTTATTTTTATCTGCTTTATATTTAATATTTATTGATTTGAATTCAATATTTACAATATTAAAAGCAGGCCGAAAATATTAAAATACCAAAAGAGGCTTTTTTGTAAAAACAAAGTTAATATATCATGCAAAATTAATACTTTATACAATAATGGCATATATCTTAATAATGAAAAACCGTGGTCAAAGTTTTACGACTATAAAAGAAATTTTGCTGCGGCTTATTTTTGCCGTAACTTTATTATACTCTGGCCACAGTTCACCTTGCAAATCCTTTAAAATTCGCTTTTAAAAAGAAATAAATTATTTGTTCCAGATTCTCGACAAAAAATGTTAAAATGAATCTTATTAGTTGCACATTTCAGTGGAGATTACAACATGGGCCAATACAAGAATGGCCCAATTATACGAGAGAAATATTATTCATGAAATTGTTATATTTTTAATAGGAAGAAATTATAGTGGGTGTATAAAAAAAATACATATTTCGTCCTGAAGAACTCAAAGAACTAACCTAACAATGATAAATTTTAATCTAAATGCAAGAAATTAATATAATTTTTTTTAAATAATGAATCATAATGGTCAAGGAATATGATGTTAATAAAGTTACAATAAAAATTACCCAATTAAAAAAAATAAGAGCAAGCTCATAAGGGCACAGGCCGATGAGACACTTTGTCTTGGCCTGAAAAAAAGAATATTTATGTTCATGGATCGAAATGAAACTAAATGCGTTTTTTCTAACTGCTCCAATAACCTTAAATCAACTGCAATTAAAATGGTAAGATTTTGTTTTCAAAATTTCAAAAGGACCCTGCAATACATCAAGTCTGTTAAGAAATTTATTGATATAATTTTCAGAGATTTGAAGTTCAATTAGACAAAGATTTATGGAGGAGTCGTTGAGAAATGTACATGTGTCGAAGAGCTTTTTTATAATGTGCAAAAAGAAAATGGGCAGGCGGCATAGCATAGGGGTGGGCGAGATGCATTCGCAGAAAATTTAGGTGCGCCTCCTTGCGGACTCTGCGTGTGGGTTTTCATCTTTGAAGAGGTAGATTTGCAATATTTGCAGTTTTTTCCCACAAAGTAAATTTACTTTGTCAATCCTTTTGGAAGTTTCAAATTTAAATCAATGCAGAGGTAAAACTCCAGCGAAATTAATTTTAATGTACCCATGAGAATCCCAATTATACTACTTTTAATTGCTTTTAATTAATAATTATTGTAGGCAATCAAAGAATTATAATAAAATTCCGGCAGTTCAAACTTTGGCCACAGAAAATATAATAAAATTTCGGCATCTTTTTCCATTAAATATAAACTTTTTTAATTATTCATTTATATGATTCTTATTTTATAAAATAATAATAACGCTTGGGACGACAATATAATTGTGTATTTGAAACCATGCAACTAACATAACAGTACGTATTTTTTTATAGTGCTTATAATATTATTTATGCTCAAACACTCCTTTACAAAATTATTATTAATTCGCGCTTGATGTGTCATTGTCAGTACGCCATATGGCAAAATAACAAAACTTTTCTCTCACGACAGGTCTAGACTCCAAAACTATTGGCGTACGTTCAATTTTATTGTTTTCAATTTGTCATTTCTTGACGTGTGTAGATTAAAAATACGCTTTATTTGTAATTCAAAATTGTGTATACGCACAATGGAAAGCCAGCACGTGCATTTGTATTGCGTGTGCGTTGCTTTTAATTGTGCTGCATCGCCACAATTCATGGCCAAGGCTTTCCACGCTTCCGTGGTTTCAAACGAAAAATTAGATATAAAATATAAATATGAGTTACGCTTTAAAACAAAAGAAGCGCCATTTAAAATAGAAATAAAATACATATTATTGCTATGGCAAATGGCACAACTGAAAATTGCGCTACAAAAATATATAAAAGAAAATGAAGATTTTAAAGAGTTGCCCACACTATGAATTCTCCTGCATCAATAAATTTTATTTTTATTGTTAGTAATAATTTTTCCGGGATCATGCTAAACTAAAGATTTGAAATAAAAAAGTCATAAATCAAGTTATCAAAAAATTTAATCAGGCTCAATTTTAAATCAGTTACATTTTGGCATTTAAAAATAATTATATAATTGAAAGAAATCTATACTTGGATAAAGCAATTTAAATGTTAATTTTCGCAAAGTCTTGCGTTGTTTTGTCAAGATCGTCCAAACGGGTTTGGCGGCGCTCGCTGCGAATTAGTCAATGTCCAGCAAGCCGAAAGTGAGTGCGATAATTATCCCGTCTTCGCCAGCAGGTGCGGTGATATTTCGTCAAAACAAAAGCAAAATTGTTGAGCGCGAAATGCAGTTTTACGCTTCCGATAGCAATTTGACAAATTGGCTTCCTACCTCTATGGCTGCTAATGAGAGCTTTTAAAACACCGGCCTTTGATTAGAAAATTAGCGAAAAAGTGAATGGCCTTTTAATTGTTTCCACAAAATCAGTGAGAAGCACCAGCGCGCAGTGAAACTTTTGTCTTCAAGCGAGGAGCATTAAAAATAAATATTATGGAGCGGCCTTTTATTTATAATTAATTATATATTTTTTTTTTACTGAAATTTTCAAATTTTCAGAATCAATAATTTATTCGTCCAGTTGAGCAATTAATTTTTTCACATTTAATTTGTACTCCATCCACCCACACAGCTCCGTTTCTCCTTAGAGGCCCGAGAGCGAGTCGTTAGGGTCGGATCACGCGCGTGCATAATGAAATATTAATTTCACCTGCTGGACCACAGCGGTTGTGGGTCGAGCCGTCAGGAAAATCTGTTTGTGTGCGCGCAGAAGAGACACAACAATGAAATAACAGCCGCGAGTGAGATCTGGTTCTGCCCACGACCACATTTGCACACACCACCGCATCAACAGCCCACTCGCACTGATGTCATACAAATTCGGCGTGGGTCGCATTCTTTTAATAATTATTCCGTGTTGTGTTGTGATCGCCGCAGTTTTGTGTGTGGTACACCCGAAACGAGAGAGTTCCGCCCGCAGGAGCGTTTAAGGGCACTACTTAATAAAAAATAAAATAACAATAACTTGTTTATATTGCGTAGTATATTTTTTGCGCATTCACAAATATGTGCCGTGAGCTTTAAAATCTTATAATAACAAAGTGTTAATAAAAAGCATGTTTTGAAACATTGGAATATTGTTATTTTTGTGATTTTCTAAATCCAAATATTATAAGATATAATAAATTAGGATTAAAATGTGTTTATGATATTCTTATATCATTCTAAAAATTTTTGTTTCATATTTGAAGCTGGCATATTATTTATTTGAGAAGAAAATTAGGAAAATTAATTTAATTTCTTATAATTATATCTTATAAGCGAAACCAAAACCAAATACTAATAATACAAAACTTTAGTTAAATAGATAAAATATAATTTTTAAGTTTGTTTTAAATAGGTTAATTAGCTTTAATTATTAGTTTTATTCTATTATTTCTAATTATTGTCATATTAGAGACGTTTGGCGCTTTGTTGTTGTTGTTGTTTGTTGTTGATTTAAATTTTGGCTCTGGTGGGGACCATTCAGCCAGCTCTATTAATTTATAAAACATCTAACTTTTTATCTCTAAAAAAATTTAGGATTATATATTATTGTAATCTTTGTATCGGTCATGCAGTGATGTGGCGCGTGAACTGCGATCGTCTCGGTTCATTCCTGATTCCCGCTCATAATTGGCAGAACTGGAAATAAGAAGGAGTGGTCTTGTTTTGATTTTTGATTACCCACATGGCAGACGCCTGACCGGTCATTTCTGAAGTTAATTTGCAATTTTTCTACCTTTGGTCGTTTAGTTAGATCATACATACTTCTAAAGTTGCCAGAAAAATGGGCAAGAATAAGCAGAATAAGAAAGGAAAAGGTGCAGAAAAAACCGCCGTAAAAACTGAAAAGAAACTGTCCAAAAAACAGAAGAAGGACTTGGCCGATTTAGGAGAGGTTTTGTTTAATTATTTTCTATAGATTTTCAGGAGTTAATATTTTATAATTTTAGGAAGATGTTGAATCAATTGTGGCTCAGATTGAGATGGAGGAGAAAAAGAAGCAGGCAGTCACTGAAGCTGCCATTGATAGGCCACTAAAGAGATCAAGTTTCGCTTTTGTGGCCCACCCTGAAAAGGACGAGTTGATCCTCTTTGGCGGAGAGTTTTTCAATGGCCAAAAAGTAGGATATTTTTATCTTATTTTGAAATAAATCCAATTGTTTTTTTACAGACTGTGATGTACAATGACATTGTGAACTTCAACATCGCAAAAAATTCGTGGTCCTGCTTGAAGGTGCCTGGAGGTCCTGCGCCTCGAAGTGGTCATCAAATGGTTGCAGTGCCTGGAGGAAAGGGCGGACAGTTGTGGCTTTTTGGTGGAGAGTTCATAAGTCCCAGCCAGTCACAGTTCTACCATTACAATGATCTTTGGGTTCACCACTTGGGCGAAAAGCGCTGGCAAAAGATTAAGTTATACAATAAGGATTTAATTTTTATTTTTGTACTAATTTATAATTTCCAGCTGTCCTGGAGGTCCCTCGGCCAGAAGTGGTCACAGGATGGTTGTGAACAAGAAACAGATCATCCTGTTTGGAGGATACCACGACAACACTATTAACTTTAAGTATTTTAATGATGTTTACTCGTTTGACTTGAAAGATTACAAATGGAAAAAACTAGAACCTACAGGTATAAATTACATGTGAATAAGTTGAATTAGATGTTGATAGAATTTAACTATCCGAAATCTAGGCATTCCTCCTCCGCCAAGATCAGCTTGCATAATGGCTGCTCTGCCCAGTGGCAAGATTTTGGTGTGTGGCGGATACAGCAAGGTCAAGGTCAAAAAGGATGTGGACAAGGGCGTCATGCACACAGATGCCTTCCTTCTCACACCAGACAGTACGTTTGTTTAGAATACCTGCAGCATGAAATTTTATTTACTTTTTTTCAGAGGGAGATGAAACCGGGACCAAGTGGAAATGGGTGTCTGTGAAGACTGGGGGAGTTTCGCCCTTGCCAAGGTCAGGCATGGCGTTCACAGTGATGCCAAGCGGAAGAGCTTTTGCCTTCGGAGGAGTTCGAGACGAAGAGGGTGAAGAAGATTTGTCCGGAACATTTTTGAACGATTCGTACTTTGTTGACTTGGAGAGCAATGTTTGGAGAACAGGTATATTTCATATTTATAATGCATAATTCCTATTTATTTTAAATTACTTTATAAATTTTCCAGTTACCCTGAGTGGAAAGAAGGACCAAACCAAAAGGTTACGCAGGAGAAAGAAGGAAGGTGAAGGTAACGAAGAAGAAATTGATGATGACGAGGAGGAGCAGCAGAAAATGGAAGAGGAACCTCTGCCCCTTGTGACCAGTGACGATGGCATTTTCAAGGTCACCGTGGGACCAGGTCCAGTGGCCCAGACCACCGTCGGTGGCACCCAACCATCTGCTGGAGGTCCTGTTGTTTTTCATCCGTCAAGTCGTATGTCTGCAGGGGTAGTTTTTAAGCAAGGAAAGATTTTCTTGTACGGAGGTCAGTACGAAGAGGGTGACAAGCAGCTGACGTTCTCAGACCTTTACAGCTTAGGTATTCAAAAAAAGTCTAATAAAAACTGATTTTACAGCATAAAATTTTTTAGACGTCCACAAGTTGGATGAATGGCAAACGTTATTGGTGAGTGAAATTTCTCCTGAAGACTGGGTCGATTCTGGAAGCAGCTCTTCTTCAGAAGATGATTCTGAGGAGGAAGATGATGAGGATGAAGACGAAGACAATGAAGAAACAGCAATGGACACGGATTGAGAAATTAAAATCATCTTCAAGCTAACAAGCGTAATTTTATTTATCTTTTCTTACTTTAATTCCATAATCAAGGATAAAATAATGTTAATTCGAACTGTAAATTTAAATCTCAGTACAATCTACAATCTTAAAACCTCTAGTAAAAATGTAATCATTTGCTTTTATTTTAGATCAAGAAGCATGTTTTTAACCGATATGAAAATCTATATTTAGAGCATTAATTTTTTTCCAATTCATCAATTTCCTTTTTCAATTCAAGCAACTTGTCATACTCCTGGCGCAGCTGCTTCAACTTTTCCGTGCAATCATTTATGTAAGCGACCCTAGGATTTTCCAGGCCAGATTCGTCCTTCAGCAACTCAGCAAATTGATCCTGCAAAATATTATAAAACATTAAGTTTACTGATTTTAGAATACATTTATAATAAACACACCCTGACGGCTGTTTCAATTTCAGCCTTCTTCTCTGACATGATTTTTTCCATCATTTTCGCATGCAGGTACTGGCTGTAAATAATGTCCGTTTCAACCTCAGGGTCGACTTGCTTTGGGTTGGCGTCTCCGCTAGTATTGGCAATTGATTGGGCACTTCTCAGCTGGAAACAAACAAGAAATATAACATAGACAATTTTACCGTGAAATTGAACTTGATGAATTATTAAATACATTATTATTTTTCTTACCATGCTTGAAGAAGACAAGCTTTGTGAGCCTGTTCTCCGCACCGCCGAAGTGCTTTGCACAAGTTTCGTTTTGGCAACCTCTCGTTTCATCATCTTTAATTGTTACACGAGTTTTCAGCAGAGTTCTGATTCAAATTTAAATAACAAAAAACTGATTAAAACTGAGGTAGGGTATAAGGGGAATATGAATATAATGGAATTATGTAGTGACAATAACAATCAAACATTGCTTTTGCTTGTTACCGATTGACGACGTCATGTCATATGCCCATATGGTATCTACCAATCTGCCCGCCGTGCCCGCGTTTTTTAGCAAAACCTGGCAGGACAGGCTTCATAAAACCAGAAAGATCGAGCACGCTATTTGTTGAAATAATTCCGCGCAATTTGAAAGAGACAAATGGGAATTGAATGTTTAAATTTGGCGCGTGTACAGAATTACTGTTTGTGCTTTTCATTGGTCGAGAGCTGAGAGTTGCTTCATTATTAGCGTTCATTGGCTGGTTCAATTTAATCACTTGCTTGTAATGGTAGCCGCCTTTTTGGAATTTGTTATTGTTCGTGTTCTGTTCATGTAGGATTTTAAGAATTTTATTTCGGCATGGCAATTGCACTAGATATGTCGGTTTGCACCGTCTGCAATTATTAGTATAATCTGCAGTTTCATCAGTCAGATCTTGAGCACATCTGCGCCTGCACTTTCACCCACAGTACCTTCCACCTTGGCCACCTTGCACTTGCGTTTGGACTTAGGACTCTTGATGCATTTTTGTAACTTTATTGCACTACACATGCCATAAGAGTTGTCTGAAGTCTGAACAGCTACCGGCATTTATTCATTCCTGAACGCAGCAGAGCAGTGAGAAGAAAACTGTGGACTGTAGGTAAAAAAAAATCATAAGTTGAATGAGAGTCGAACGACGAACGACACTCAAATTTTAAGGTGGACGTGAACAAAATTCCAAACAAAACTAGGAGACCAATATTTCAGTCTACCGCACTCTACACCACACATCTCAAAGCGACCTTTGATAGATGTATGAAAATTTGTTTAATTAACAACCACTTAACTTATTTTTTTGTTTTTTAAATTGAAAAGCAGGACCGAATGAATAATGGGCGACCAAGATATTGAGATTATTGAACTGTCCGATGATGAGGAAGATGAAGCTCCAGACCCAGTAAGATAAGATCCAATTATTATTATTTAAAATAATAATTAAACAGTTTATAAATGTTTTGATTTTCGCATGCTTATTTCCACAGTTAAAAAGCAATTTTATTATGTACATTCATAAATCTTTTTAACACATAATGCAAAATTATTTTAATTTAATAAGGTTAAAAACGGGCCCATGCCCTCCACGTCTGCTCAAAAAATTCCGGCTGCGTTGTCATCAAAGTCTGCTTCTAATGGTGAAAAGGTTGTGGTGCAAGAGAAGTCCAAAAACGAGGAGGCGCTCGCAATGGTACATATTTTTTAATCAAATTTTAGTGGATAAAAAATGCAATAATAAATTATTTTTCCAGCTTACAAAAGGACTCCTTGCATTAGGAAAAAATGAGAAAGAAACATCAAGAATAGTATCCAAAATGGAAAAGAAATTCCTCTCATGCTCTGAGAAATTCAGGGAATCTGTGAATTGCTACGAACTGATCTCTAAATACCACAAATTGGTGCAAGAAGAGCCAAAGAAAAAGTGGCAGTTTGTCAAGGTACGAAACCCTCCTAAGCAGTCAAAGCAGGTTGAATTATGTAAATTATTTCTCTAGGAATTCAATGACAGCTTGACTTCTCACTGCTTCGTGAAAAAACCTGTGGTTGCTAAGGAAGATGAAGCAGCCAACAATAAAGAAAAGAAACAAAAGACTGTGAATGGAGATGCTAAGCTAGGGAGAATTGAACTGCACTTAAAGAAATTGGAGGATAGTTTGGAGGTCTGTTTCATTTTTTGGCTGAATCATTTTCAATTTTGAAATGGTATCAACTTTCAGATATGCGTTGCAAAAATCAAGCAATTGGACGAGGAAGAAGTGGATCTGAATGATGATAAAGCGTCAGCATTTATTATCAAGAGGAAGTATGTCAATTTTAATATTATCTTTCCTTTTTAATACTCCCAAATTTCTTAATGTGTCAGGTATGAAGAACGGGCTGCTCAGTTGTATACCAAAATCCAGGAATATTTGCAGAAGCTTACTGGGGAGGTTGGTGAGAGCATTAAAGTTCGACATCCTAAAATCTGCACTTTGGGTAAATTACTGCAACACTGAAATAGACTCAATCTTCTCATCTTCATATAATACTTTTTAAGGATTATCTGAATTGAAAATCGATGCCATCAATACTGCCATCGATAAATTTGTGAATCGCAGCAGGCAGAACGAGGAGATTATATTTCCCAATTTTCGAGAGATAAATTCCATTGTTACCAGAGTCAATAGAGAGGAAAACATAGGAATGTCCAAAGATGAGGTCGAACAATATGGTAAACAAATATATATTTTCTTCCTTGAATAAATATAAAGACTGCCAAATTCCTGCAGCCCGTCAAGCATTTCAAACTGTTGGAAAGAAGATCAAAAAGTGCAGGGCAATTGAGCTCAGGTCGACCCTCAATGATTTGATTGCCAATGCTCCAGATGACCCAGCAGACAATGATCCAGAACTTTTGAGGAAATTGGCTGCAAACAAGAAAATTTCAGAGCAAAAAGAAACTGAGGTTAATTATTCAACTTTTTTGTCTACAGCCTTGAAAATATCTAGTCCGAAAATATCCCAGTTCAATTATTCCCTGCAAATAATTTAATTTGGAAACTTACATTGAATATTGAATTTTACAGGTCTTTGAGAAATATGTTAAAGAGAGTGCTGAGAAAGAAAAGGAGGAAGAGCTGAACAGCGATGGCGATGAAAACGAGAACAATGACATCAATGAAGAGGAAGCTGAAAAGGAAGAAGACGAAGATGATTACGAAGTTGTGTCGGTTCACGGCAAAAGTGAAGATGGTGAATCAAGTAGAGACCCATTTGAGAACGAAGAGCTGGACATTGATTTAAATGAACCTGCTGAAACTTCGCCAGAAGAGCCATTACTTGGTATGATTACAGAGGAAAATGATGAGACTGAAATCGTCCCTGCTGGTCCAGAGGTGCCCACTAGCATCCAAAATACAACAGACCCTACTTCACCAAGCACTTCAGATCAAGCTGTTCCTATTGGTCCAAGTGCAAATGGCCAGGGTACAACACGTGCTAAGGAAGATGCACTGAGAGAAATTGAAACATGGTCCGATATGGAGGTTGATGGGGATGATGAGAGAAATTTGAGTGATCTTGGGGCAGATGTGGATCCAGCTTCATCTGTTTGTATAGAAGCAGACTGTCCTAACAAGATTGAAGATTTGCTGCCTGTTGATGGGCCACTGGGTACTTAAATTTATGCTAATTCTTAAATGTTCACTGTTTTTCCTATACATCTCATTTGCAAATTATGTCTTGTAAATTTCATGTACTTTAAAAAGAAAGTTGTCTGCATACCTATTTATAAACTTAATTAAAGTATACTTTTTGAATGAAAAAAGATAACTTTTATTATTGAAAAATGAAGAAATTATCAAGAGTTCAGTTTGAGGTATAATATGAATTTCTGAGAAGCTTTTCCTCTTTCCAGATAACACTGCAGCAAATGATGAAAGTTCCTTCAACCCCATAATCGTCTCAGTTGAGTCACAAGTGCCTGGATTTTCGCAAGATGATGAGCCGGTCAGTGAAATGAATGACTCTGCAGCAGCAAACAATTTTTCAACAGATGTCTTGTCACTAAACAACAACTCGGCTCTTATTGAACCATCATTGACTCATTCAGCACCTGTGCCTGAGACAAAGTCTATAGTAAGAACTCAAAAAGCTCGAAAATCATTTCCGAGGCCTACAATATATCAGCCTGATGATGTTGAGTGTGTCATACTGGACTAAGTTATATAAGCCCCCTAACCCTAAAAAAGGTGTGTAACATTGAAGTCACTGCATATTAAATTGATGAAGCACAATTTTCTATGCATTATATTGCGATACTGGAGATTTTTTGTCAATGTATTATGATTTGGATTGCCAGAATTTTGATAAAGTTGCTAATGGCTAGTGAATGCAGCAAAAATTTTCATTTTGATAAAAACGAATAAAATTATTCAAGTTTTCTACTTTTGGTGTGCATTTTCATACAGAAAGATTAGGTTTATTTAGCGACTGAGCAACATCATCATGTTCATGTCTCTGTGTTCTATGAAGTTTATTTAGTAAACAATTCATTTAATTACATTTCAATTGATGACCAAAATATTAACTGACATTTCAAATACATACATAGAATGTGTTGCCTAACAAATCAAAATGCTAAAATTGAAGTTCGTGCACGCAGTACACCTTAAGTTCATTGCACCATCTCGTGCTGTCAACCAATTAAAGACTGCAGTAGTTATGAAAATAAAACTATAAAATGCAGAATTTATCTTATTTAACGGACTCTCTTCTGCTGTCTCTGGCGGTAGATGTCATTGACTGGCGGTGCGCCTGTGAATTCCTCTTCATCACTGTCTTCGCCGAGTCCTCTCTTTCTTCTCTTCCCAGGCACAATGCCCGTCTGAGCTTCGTCATCAACTATCCAGTGAACAGATTTAGCAAGATCGAAAAGCTTTGAGTCCGATCCATTCTCATTGTTTTGTGGGGCTGGAGCTGTTTTGCAAAAAAATTATATTACCAAACAGATGAAAGGGTGTGCGTTTATAGGGCATACCTGAATCTGGAAGCTGAATTTTACTAAAGACGTCCAGCAGCATATCAACAGACACAAAGGGGCCTCGAAAACTGGAGGGCGGCGGCAGCAAAGTGCACAAGTGAGTTGCTGACGGTGGCAGCGGAAAAACTCCTCCGGGAACAATGTGTTCTCCTGGATGGGCGTTTGGTTTAGGTTTGTAGGGAATCATCTGTCCAAAATCGGGACGAGCCACTGCAATTGTTGGCTCCTCGTCTAGAATCAAGTTGCCCACTGCGCTGAGTCCCTTGTGGGAGCCCTGTAAAGTGGAGGAATAGCCAATGGCTCGAAGTTCAGCAACAGAACAGGGGTAGAGGTCCAAAAATCTGTAGCGGTCCACCAATTGAGCAGTCTCCTTGTCTTCAAACTCTTTGAGCTGTAAAGTTATTTCAATTAAAATCAAGTATCAGTTATTTCAAATAACATACTTTCTCTAACACTGCACTTCGTCGCTTCTCAACCTTTACTATACTGGTCAAATCACCAACGTTTGATTCAAACTCTAGGAACTTATTCCAGATCTCGCTAAATGTTATAATTAGATAATTGAATTGGTAAAACAAAGTTAAAATAATTACACTGATTTATCATCTTCCAACGAATCCGAGGTGAGCACCCTCTCGAACAGCACCCTTGTGTTATTGTCCTCGTTCAAGTGGGACAAGTAATCAATGTAGTTAAGGATGTACTCGGGATTGTCTCCAAATTTCTTGAGTCCCAGCTCAAAAATTCTGAAGGCGATATTTTTGTCCTTGCTGCAGTAATATTCCATAAGGGCAGCAGAAACGAATACTTGAAAACCGGATCTTGGGTCTTCTCGTGCTTTTTTGAAAATTGTCCGAGCCGATTTTATGCCTTCAGCTCGCCGGCCGAACTTCATGTATTGAATGAACGCCTTTGGAAAATAAAAATTTAACAATCTTTGAAATTTTATGATTTTGATAACAAACCAAAGTAGGGTCAATGTCTGGAATATCCAAGAGCCTGGTGTAAATTTTGTGAACTTTCTCATATTTGACACGATCTTCCTCGAAGTCAGCATACGCAAAGTAGAGCAGCATATTCTTGTTCAATATTGTGGTGATTGCTCTCTCGTAAATGTTTGCAGCTTCGTCTCCAAACAATTTAGCGGCATTTATATCCTTTCAAACAAAACATGTTTATTAAAATAAAAAACGTAGTGAAAAAACTTACCCCTTTCTCATGGAGAAGTTTTGAAGATAATACAAGGTACAGTGCAGCTTCGTACCAGATGTCCGGATGGTGGCCCATGCAAAGCAGACATTGTTCGTAGGCGTACATGACCCTTTTTGTAATTGTCGTTTGATCCTCGGTTCTGAGCGGGTTGCTCTTTTCCCATGAAATATATTTTTTCCACAATTCAACCTAATCATTTTATTAGTATTGGTAAAAAAATCAGCTGAAATTTTTTAAGTACTTGTTTGACTTCTTCTCCAGTGCCGACTGGAGGTACACTTGGGGCGTTACGATTAACACCCCTAGTGGCAGCCTCGAACTCCTTAGCCACCCGCCGAGCATTCATGTAGTCCCTGCTGCGCTCCATACCCATTTTCTCAGCAATGATAGGGTTAATGTTCTGCTCGAAAGCAATGTAGTCCTTCCAGAACTGCTCAATATTTGTCATCGGGTTAATCACACCCCTTTGGTACACCTGTTAAAATTTAAAAAAATTTCATTTCATTAAAATGTATTTAATTGTGATGAATGACCTTTCGAACAGCACTGATGCGTTGGTTTTCTGCATAAGACCCGACGGCCTCAACTGCTTTCAAGAAGGTCACATAGTCGTTCCAAATGCTGTAGGACTGGATGTCCATTCCGACCTTTTCCAGGGTGAAGTCGTAAGCCTGAGCCATTTTCTCCCTAGAATAAATTAATCAAATGGTAAATATTGCGCATTTTTTTTTTACAAAGAGTAAAATTACTTATAGGTAGGCAACATGGCCTTAGTTTCTTTCACATAAGTGAGGTACAGTTTCCAGAGATCAATGTTAAGCACTTTAATTAAACAACGCTGAAAGAGCTGTGAAATAGAAGTAGTTTAGAATATTTCTTTAAATGTTAATAAAGCTGCATTATTATTAAATTATTTTAATTTAATTACCTTTCTGCATGCTGCTTTCTTTGTGACCCAAATAACTTAAAAGCCCACCCACTTAAAATACGTTGGTTGTGAGGTCGATTTTAAAAGCAAAGTCAATAATTTTTAATAGAATAAGTGCTGTTTATTTAGTTAAAAAGTACAAGTCTTTTTAACTAACATTTAAAAACGGGCCGACTTATGATACACAGAAAAATGCAATCTTAATTATTTTAACGTAATTATCTTTGCATCGAGGAATTAAAAGAAAAATATATGTTTGGTCAAAACTCGCACTGCACACTCTCACACTCATTTGCACTCTTTCACGCAAGAGGGTGGATTTCACTCAAAAGGCGAGAGCAAGGTTTCATTTGAGCTCGGATTATCTCTTAATTTTTTTTTTTTATTCTCCTTGCTTTAGCCTCCTGAGCTTTTAACACAGAGTTTAAATAAACAGACCCCAAGAAATTGAGCGTTTTATTTTTCTCATTTTATCAGTCTTTGTTGAGCATGGTAAAAATTCAAAATAGTCCTCACAGCCCCACTTATCAGGTACATTTTGTGGTCAAAGAAGCGAAAATTGTATTTTTATTTTCACAAGAGATGAACTGAGAATTTCGCTATAAACTGACAGTTCAGGAGAAGTGTCAAAACTGCCAATTCCTTACCTTTTCAACTCTCTCTAAATTCCTTGCCTTCAGCTGTGAACAAGAAGAATGATTTCAGGCGAATTTAAGATAAAATTCTTTTTCTCTTGGTGATTTAGAATTTAGAATGTAGATTCAACCGTAAATTTACCTCCTGCTCGATGTAAATCTTCCAGTATCTGCCAGTGGTTGGGAAAACGGTGACGAGCTGCTCGAAGAAAGGACGTACGTCTCCAATCCATCGGTTTTGAGCCTCTCGAATGAGCAAACTCCACGCCTCCATGTCGTAGCCATTTACCTCCGTTACTGTGCGGTGCGCCCTTTTCAATTTATCACTCTCCCATTCCTGTGGCATTTAAAAGAATAATATCATCATTAACATCATAATGAAGGGAAACATTTTCATACTGCATGTAATTATGCACTTATTAATGATTTCTTATTGTTAGATCAAAAAGGATGAAAAAATCCTTTTTAATCAATATTAATAGCTCATAATATATTTTAAGCCATTAAGCTGATCATTCGACAGAGATTCAAAACTTTGCTCACCACTTCAGGCACTTCTACTTTTTCCTCCGGCATCTCCATTGCCGCCGCCGCAGCCACCACTGGGGTTGCCATTTCGGCACTGTGTTTCTCTTGCAAATCACCTCGAGAGGATCTTGGACGCGCCTGAAAGTTCGCAAGTAACTATGATAATGGCGAATTATCGGTTTAACTGTGGTTTACAATCTTACCTTCAGCGACTACAACCAGAATTTGCCGTCGATTCACTTTTTCGGCAAACAACTCGATCCAAGAGACAACAACATCAACAAACTGGAAACTGGAACAACTAGTGAGAGAATGGCGGACGGATGGCGGAACGGGGCATGGGAGGGAGGGACGGGGAACACGGAACGACTTGTAGCCAATCAAAACGACAGAAAGTAGAATTTTGCCATCTTTAGGCGGTAAATTTCCACGTTTTGGCCGTGTGCCAAATTATTATCATTATTTTGTTATTTTTCCTATTTTTACTTTTAACTACAGAATTTTCAAATGACCATGAGCATTTTTTTTAAATATCTTCAATTCTGATTTTATTTATTTTTTCTAATAAAACTGAATTTATATTATAGTATGCCTGATTGTAAGTTAATAATCCAAAATAATATTGATGATTGTCATGATGTTGTTTATAAATACTCTATAAATGACGATAAACGAGAACTGTTTACTGTTTGCTTTTGATCAACTCGATTGATAAAAAACACGATTTTATTCAATTCTTATTTAGTCATTTTTTTTTAAATCTAAAATTTATTGAAGATGTATGTTGCGGTATGTTGTGCTCTCAAGTGAATTTGCTGGTTTTTATTAGAGCACTCCTAAAACATGATTCATGCGTTTAATAATTATATGATAGTTTAAAATATAATTCAAATGAATTTCCTCCTTCAAATATATCATTAATATCATTATTTAAAGCAGTTTTTTTTTTATTATTTTTAAAAAAAAAAAAAAAGTCTACTGCGGATAGAAAAAAATTGTCTACAATTAAAACACGTAAATTTTAAAATAAAAACCCATACTTGCTCTAAAAAATAAATGGGCGCAGAGCATACAGGTTTTGGATGAAACGTTATTCAAAATTATTTTTAGTCTGGTGTGTTGATGGAAGGTTGAATGCGGGCGCAAGTGTGACGTCACACACTCGGGTGGAGATTCGAGTCGCGCTTTGGTCGGAACCTCGTCAGCTGACTCACTTGACGAGGGTCGCGGGGGATGGAATTCGAGCAAGGGGTGTGTATTGATTTTCCACCGGGGTAGCTAAACACCGAGCGTCCGTACACGACTCTCTTAGTACGGCATTTTCCATTTCCAACAACTTTGCTTTCGTCCGCCGCCAATTTCCCCAACCTTCTTCGACGAGCACCATGGACTAGAACTTCTGGCGCAGTTTCCCGCTCGCTGCCTCATTGAAGGTACATGCATTGATACGTCATCCTGCCGAGACCTTTTAATACTTTTGTTCTTTGGTTTTTTCACGATTCATTTGCTCGCTTCTCAGATGGCGTTTTCTTTGATCGAGGCGATCGTTGTGGCCCTGCTGCTGGCCCTGCCCTTTGCTTACGAGTCAAGTCCCAAGTTTCGCTACTATTTGAAGTTTTTCCTTTATTATGGACTTGTCATGACCACGGCCGTCTTCGTCATCCCCATAATGATGTTCCGTCCGGGAGAAGTCAAGAACTTGCTGTAAGTGCCTATTATTTAATTAAATTTAAAAATTACGGAAAAATAATAAAATTTCAGTTTTTTTTATTTTTTAAAAATTTAAAAAAATTCAAAGTTGGTATAATTAGCACAACCAAAATTATTTGCTTTATATTAATATTAAAAAAAAGAATGTGCTTTTCAACATTATTGAGTGTTCAATTTTAATAAAAAATTATTGATTACAAAATGTAATTTCTTTAAATGTTAAAATAAAATCAGAATCAACTTGAAATGCAATAATTTAAGATATATTTATGAAACAGGTGCAGCGAAAATAAAAATATATTTTTATCACATTATACATTATTATAAACATTATTTAAATTGATTTAAATATATATTAAAATATCCTAATTCATTTTATTTTGCAGTTTAGCATCTTTTCTGTGTCGGCACATTTCAAAACTTGTTGGACTTCGATGGGAATTGCGAGGCAGGGAGCACCTTGAGAAAGATATGGCTTGTGTCATTGTTGCAAATCACCAAAGCTCGCTGGATATTCTAGGTTTGTTACAAAATCTTTTACCATTTTTCACACTCAAAAATTGTCGGATATTGGAGATTTTTTAATTTGACGACTGTGCAATTTTAAACCATTGCAATTTTTTAGTATTATTTTTGTTCTCCAAAAGTGAAATTTATCGGCAATTTGCACATCTAGAACATGAAATGCCTTAAGAGTGACATGTTAAAAATAATTTTCAATTTTTTTAAAGGTACGGCGGAAATATCAAGAAAATGGTAAAAATTAGGTGAAGAAAAGTGGCATTTAAAACTTTTTATTGTAATAAATTAATTAATGATATCAAAGAATATCAACAGGAAAACCAGCAATCAGTATGGGAGATAAAATTTTTTATTGGTTACTTGTAGTCGCATACAGTGTGATGTTAGTTAAATTAATTTTTTCTCCACCAAGTCAAATTATTTTCTGACAAAAATGGGGAAAAAATTAAAATGTAACAAATGTTCATCATAATTAGATTTGAATGTAACAAAAAATGCAAATTATTTAGGGTCATTTTAGTTTAGGGACGAATGAGGAGTTTGAACTGCCCTATTTATTTCACCGAAGTTATCCGTTTTCAAGTTAAATTGACACAATTTTCTGTGACAGGTATGTTTGAATTGTGGCCCGTGATGGAGAAATGCACCGTGGTGGCCAAGAAGGAGCTGCTGTACGCCTGGCCTTTCGGACTGGCCGCCTGGTTGTGCGGCCTTGTTTTCATAGACCGCTTGAATGCAGATAAAGCCCGAGAGTCGATGAACCAAGCAACAAAACATATTCAGGAAAACAAGGTTCGAAAAGTGCAAATATTATCTTATCTGTTTTTGTTGTTTTTGGCTGCTCGCCTATCTAAAACCTTTGCGTCATATTTCAGATCAAACTGTGGATTTTTCCTGAAGGTACTCGAAACAATGCCAGCACTATGTTGCCTTTTAAAAAGGGAGCATTCCATGTTGCTGTGTCCGGCCAGATTCCAATTCTTCCCGTTGTTTTTTCTTCCTATTACTATTTAGACCACACAAAGAAAACATTTGACGAAGGTAATGAAATTATAAAATATTTATATTATTTCATTTTTATTTAAAGAACAAAATGAGTTCAATTTTTTTTACTTAAAATTTTAATTTACATTTTTTTCAAGGGCGAGTGATAATGACCTGTTTGCCTGCGATCAACACAACCGGCTTAGGGAAAGACGACATCGCAAATTTGGTCGAGCAAACTCGAAACGACATGATTGCCGAATTTCATCGCAGCTCGGCTGAAGTTTTGATGGAGTTGAATCGTTCCAAGCCAGCAGACGGGAACGTCAAGAGTAAGGAAATCATCAATGGGGACGGTAATAAAATGGAAGAGTCATGAAATTCGACAAGGAATAACTAATCTCACACACCATAGTGATATTTCGAGCTGTTTTACGAAAACAGCTTTGTGGGAATTTGATTTCCAAACCCTCTAAGTCCTCTTTTAAATCTCTTCTATTCGAGAATAGACTAACATACTAAAAGAAACAATCCCAATAGTTGAGAACACAAAAAGTCAAGAAACAAAATAATTAAATGTTCATGCGCTTATTGCTTTTTAGGTATGATATGATTAATTTAGTTGAAAGAGGCGTACAAATGAAAACTCGGTGGTATAAAAATGTGCTTGATGTATTGCATTTTGCTTGACAGCCATTTTTTACGGTCCAACCAAATATTTATAATTTCTGTCACTTTAAGCTGGTCTACAAAGTTACACATTCCTAATTTACTTTTCCCTTAATCACTTAACACATGATATATGTGCCAAATTATTTCTCATTCCTATATCAGTCATTCTGATCAAATGGGCTTATGTTGTTCTTTATTTGCTTGCGCGTTGTTTTCCATTTTTATCCAAATTTAGTTTTAAGAATGATGACCTAATTAACCTTTTTCCTGCGCTGTGCGCCATATAACAGTAATAAAAATAACAATTTTCAGTATTGATTACAAAAAAGCAGAAAAATTAAGCAATTAGCCATAGATCAATGTCCACTGATTTACTAATTTCATTTTTTAACCAAAGTTTTGCTGCTAAACACGAAAATAAGCAAACTTAACGCCAGAAGTTTTACAATAATTTAACCAACTTGAACTCCTTAATTTTTTTTTTTTAAATAAGAAATTTTAAATAGAGGAAATTGAGATAAAATAAGTTTTCTTTTGTTTCCTTATGATGAACAGGGATTTTTTTATGATGATAGAATTTAAAGTATCAAATTTATTTATTGAACAAAATTAAAATATTTAATTTTACTAATAGAGAGATTTTTGCCTCTATAAAGATTAAAGATACAAAATTTTAAATACTCATTGATTTGCATCATTATATTATATAACCTAATGTTTTATTATTATAATTGTGAAAAGCTTGCGAATTTCGAAACTAACCATCTATGTCAAAAAATTAAGGAAGGGACGTCTGCACTTATGATTTTAAAATTTGCCCTGTGATAATTACAATTAGAGACAAATAGTGCTGCTGTTTTATTATCCTGTTCTTGTGAAATCAAAATTGTCTCCATCGATTGATACAAATTTTTATTTCCATTATTGTCTAATCTTGCTTGCACTAAAAGCACCTAGTAATTTGAATCAAATTAAAGGCCTTCAGCTATATGACTGTCTTTTAAAAAAAAAGTGCTACTGAGCAAGTACATAAGCTAGCTGCAGTTTCTGTGGAGGCCGTTATAGGCTGCCAAATCGTACCTAGAAGTAAAATTTTATCATCATTCTTGTCTTTTGAGGTTTTGAGCAGGAAGTTTTTGTCATAATTTAGTGCTAATTTTTATAATAAAGATATCTTGTTAAACTGTTGATCTCTATATTAATTATTCTATAAAATGTGTACAGGAAATAACGGAAGAAGATCTAATGTGAATGGAATTGATATGCAGTCATTGAGATTGCATGTAAATGTACATGTATTTAAATAATAAAATGAAGATGTAATAATTTCTTATGTTTTTATTTGAAGGTTTGGCGTAATTTAAAGAAATGGCGCTTAAATTGGTTAATCACAAATTTACTTATTTTATTTTTTTTTACACATTTTACTGAATTATTTGAAGCAGAATTGCTTGAAAGGGGTTATTTACAAAAAGAACCACTAGACATTGTAATATTTTTTTACAGATAATTATTTCCACTACGATTGTGCCGCTTTGTCAAAAAAATTCACAAAGATCTAACAAAAGTGCATTATTGAAGTTCTTAATTCCATATTTTGACACAGTAAGTAATTATTTGAAACTGAGGCGTTTCTTGAGTTTTGTTCAAATATCTAAACACTATGAAAAATGTGGAAATAAATTTTGAATTGCCTTCAAAACTGCACAGCATAAATATAATATAACTGATGGATTTTTTTACTCAAACTGACTTTTTACATTTTCCCTGATTTATCATGTCCAAAAATCACGTCACGTGGATTTCCTCGTCGTCCGACTCGTCCCAGCACTCCTGTTGAGACGGCGACATCTCGCCACCTTGGTCAGGGTGGCTGTTCGGAGGTAGAGGAGAGCCAACGGGTGAAGTATCGGAACCGCCGAGGTCGCGTATTCGCGCCCTGTCCGCCTCAGCGTCGCTCAAATCAGGGTGAGGGTTGTTCTTGTTGGGCAGGGTTTGCTCCCTCGATCCTCCGGCGGCCAACAGCTCGCGCTCCTTCGAGTTGCGCCACTTCATCCGCCGATTTTGAAACCAAATTTTTACCTGTAACAGCAAAGTTGAAAATTTAAAAACTCCGTGTTTGCCATAATAATAATTTCTGAGCTTGAAAAAAAGAATTGATCTTCTATCAACATTAATATAATCACGCTCCTGAGGGAAAACGTTTTATTGATTGATTTTTGTATGGATAATAAATGGGCGGTTTGAGACAAAATAAAACTTTCAAACTTTATTTTATGATTGAATGATTATTAATTATTTAATTATTAATTATATTATTTTAATATTTACATGACCCTTTTTGTTCTGTGTTTTCATACAATTATTAGGTCTTTAAATATTTAGTTACAATAAAATCATTTTTACTTGTTCAAATTTTCAGTTAAAAAATGCAATTAACAATAACGCGATGAGAGGTTGCAAGCGTTGAATTCTCAGCTGCTGTTGCAACTGTAACCGAATGAGCCAATTGATTTTCTGAATAAAATTTTTCCACTGTTCAAAATTGTGATAAAGGTTAATAGCCGAATAGGAGTTTCAGAGAAAAAAAATCAATGCGGTAGTCCCCATTCAGAGGCAGGCAATTTTTCGTCATCACTCAATTTTCTCCCTCGTCACCACGCAACAAACTGCTCCATTTGAAGCGATTCAGCACAGAGAGTCGCGCGTGATTAATGGGAAAAATTGCGTTAATCGTTCGTTCATCTGCGCCAACAGAAATTTACAATGCAACCCAGAGCGTGCATAATTGATTTTTTTCCACCTCGATTTGGAAAGATATAAAATGTTGGTCAAAATTTAAAAAAAAAAAAATAAGTATTGACAATAATAATTAATAGAAAAATAACGAATGCAACTAGAAAAGGTGACGAATCGAATAATATTTGATCGGAGATAAAATTTTATTCGAAACTATAATATTAGAATGTGAATGTATTCTAATATCAATGATTCAGGCTGAAAAGACTATAAAAAATATTCGTAACAATAAATTAACTCTAAGCATTTTGAATTCAAAATAATCAAGAAGCGTTAATGTGTGATAATGCATAACAAAAAAAAAGCAAAATTTACAATACATTTTACTTATTTAAAATTGGTTTTATATTTTTATACCTTAATTTTAGACTTTTAAATAATGTGAAAATTTACACTAACTTTTAAAAATTAAAGAGTTTAAACAGTTCATTGTTTCATTTTCTTCTTTGAATAATTTTGTCCACAAATTGTGTATTCTTGTATAAATTTCTAATAAAATAATGATTTCGTCTAGTTTGATGATTTAAACAGAAGCTGTTTGTCCCTTTCGAGTTGATGACGGCAAATAAATGTGTGAAAGGCCCATTTCTTGCAAATCACAAAGGCTGACAAAGAGCGAGAGAGACCACCATCGTCACTCATTCACTCGCACCCCCCAACGCGCCGCATCTGGTGGTGACACGGCCGTTGTCGCCCATGCAGAATGCACATGCGAGAGCAAATAAGTCACTTCTGACCCCAAATCGGCGGCGGCAGCTTTTTATTTCTGAAAAAAACCATGGAGGCGAATTTTGGCATTTTGTTTGACAGGCGTTGGCGATTGCACAATATTGATGTCTCAATTCCGTCATCAATAATCCATTTATTACGCAAATCGATCACACACAAAAATGGATGTGCCGAATTCCGATTACTTTTTTTGTCACTCCCCGCCGCTTTTCCGAATCATTCATACGTGGCTATTATGTTGTTTGCGCTTTTGTTGGTTTTTATGTCAACGAGCTCTGTTTGCAGATGTGTAATGTGTGTCGTGTGTGCATTTGTCACGTCTGTATGTATATAAGCGTGTGGTCAAAAATCGTGACTTTTTGACAAACATGTTGGCTCGCTGTTGGTTGTTATATTCATTATCGCGTTTTACCACACACTGGTGGCCGCGCTCACTGCTTGTCACCACATTATCAATTTCCACGTTTACGCCTCAACTGACCGGCAAAAGTAAATTGTACGCAATTTATTTACTAAAAAAATTCGGAAAGTATTTTTAAAATCAGTTTATTTAACTTGATAAAGTTAACGACAGGGAAACAAAAAATCTCAAACTGCTTGATTTATAAATGAATTGTTTTTTTTTAACACCATAACGGTTCATATAATTATGAGATCATATCTTGACACGTTAATTTCATAAAAACTATAAAGGTATTGCAAGTACAATCCAGTAAAATAATATATAATCCCATTTTATCCCCACATTTTTCACAGATTTTCAGCGTTCAAGTGATACTATACCTATTTTTTTTACAATACGAAGAACAAAATGAAATTTATGACAAGCATTATGTTTGTTTTTTAATTTTACCTTTTTTTATCACAACCAGCTCATTTTCAGACTTATTTGGAGACCTAAGGGGGGTTGATCAAATTCATTTTAAATAAATAGAATTTTCAAAGTTATCTGTTTGCTGGATTTGAAATTTCAGTATTTTCATTTTTTTATTTCTAAAACAAATGCTTTTTTTATTTATTGACCTAAAAGTTATTATTGAAAGGAAATAAGTAGAAAGTATGAATTTGCAAAATTTATTGAAAATCCGGTGGCAATAATCGGAGTGAATATTTAATATCGGGGAGCGGCAATAGCTGTGGGAGTTATTAATTTTCTTTTCCTGCATAATAACAAAAGTGGAAAAAAGCAGGAGCTGCTGCACAGAGGCAGCGACTGTGAAGAGGGAGAGAAGCGAACAAGCGAGAGAGAAAGACCATTTTAGCCATGGATGGCATGCAAAAGTTGTGCAGCTGACGTCGAATCAATTTTATGATAACGAGTCTTGAAGCTTCACGAGCACCGCCACCAACGTTCACAAACGACTTTGTCGCCTGCACATTTCAGTGGTTAGGCAACCCGCACGACACTAGCTAGAATGAATCCGCAACTACTATTTTCAAGTATTTATAAAAAACACTTCATAGAATATTTAAATTAAATAAAAATTTTACATATGAAAGTATTTAAAAATTATTCCAGAGATATAATCTGAGTAAAAAATAAAAATAAGTAATTGAAAAGAAGGAAATACAATTTTTAAGCTTTTTATTCGGTTAAAAATTTGAATTATTAAAAAATTAATCAAGATTTTCTCTTCAACCTTGACGACGGCAGTTTGACTGAACCGCACGAACGTTGAGGCTCATGTTTGATGCATAAAGCAGTGGCACTGCTGGCGTTTTCTCGGCGCAGCGCCTTGTGGAAGCATCTCGGCAGATAATCTGATTGTATATTCATACTTCAATGACTCTACCCAACGCTTAATTTAATTTTATTCCCATTCTTCATTCCGCCCAAATTATCATTTAAGCGCCGCCGAAGCGGAAAAAAGCCGTTGACGGTGTCGCAGAATTAATTTATTTTCATCAAATTTTCTTTTTTCCCGATTTCGAATGGAAATTAATTTTGTTAATTTTATTTCAGCGTCCCTCGCAATTTAAGATCGTGTCGGCGCCGTTTTTAAAATTGCCTGGCGGCGATTCAAGCCATAAAGCTGCCGGATTTTATTTAATTCGCAGCACACGCAGTTTAATTAATGCCCCGGCCAGAAGTTTCGACGCACGTGTACGAAAGGAGAGTGAGTTACACTTGCCGGCTCTCACTGCTTTATTGCCATTGTTTTATTGCGCTAATTACGTATTCCGTTTCGCCGCTGTATTAACAAATTATACAACCAAGCGCGACAAATTATGGCTCAATTCTCAAAGTTATTGCATTAATTATATTGTTCCGCGCCTACGTTTACATACATACATTTGCAAAATGGCATACAAGACGGCGCACGCCTTTTGCACCCAAAAGCCTCGCTTGTACCGAAAATGTATAAATTTGCAAATGCGCGACATTCTGGTCTGCAGCAAAACGAGATGGAGGATGCGGTGTGCAATAATTCTATGTATAAAAATATACAAACACCGCTGAATTTCAATAAGAAAAATACTTAGCTAATTCGCAAATTTTGAAATGCATACAAATTTTTATTTTTTCGCTAAATTAGAAAATTAGAATTGAAGAAAACTTTCCTTGCTAAAATTGCCAATTTTATAGAACTATTTAACTTCTTTTGAACTCTCGAGAATAAATTATTTATTGCAGTTGTTATAAAATTCAGAATTGATGAGATAATTTTACTAGGGAAAATCCCCTTTTGAGAGCAGTGAACGCAAACATGCCATTTGCCCATCAGCAATGTTCTTTTCTGCGGGGAAAAGTCAAGCCTCTTGTGAAACAGGAGCCCAGCACAGTCGGCTGCGGGGTCAATTTGTTTTGCTATCAATTTGATTGCAGGTTTGTTTTGGCCTCGCAGCAACTGGATATCCCTGCGAACTGCTGCCTGCTCGAGAAAGCTAGGGCGATTCGGTAAAGCAGCCCCTGGCTGCATGTTAGCTGCCAAACACACATGCACCACTTCATTCATCAAACACCCCATGTAACATATTCTTAAATTCTTATTTCACCCCCAGAAATGCACACCCCGGCGCCGGATCGAGCGAAAGTACACTTTGTGTCGAGCGCAGCAGCCGAGATTGGATTTCGCGCCGCCGTGTGTGTGCAGTGCTTTCACTTTATGGCCGTGCTAATGCGCTGCATATTGCATGCATGCGTTTGAAGGGCTGCATTTATTGTGCAGTGTGTTTTCGACCGAGAGGGGTGGTTCGCCCTCTAGCCAGGATGAACTCAATAGTCCGCGTAATTGTTTCAGAGATGCGCTCTCTCTCTCTCTCTCTTTCGCCCTGCAACTGATTGCGGACGGCTCAATTTTCGTCACGGACTTTTAATCCACCCTCGTTTTATTTATGGACCTTTTCTATTATCAATTACATATGCAACAAGCGAGAGGAAATCTTTCAAGATTGCCACAAGTAAATAACAATAATTTAATTAAAGTGTTTAAATTAGAATTTAACTTTTCCTCGATGAGTTATCTTTGCGTTGTTCATTAATTGTTTTAGAATAAACGACAACTCAAAAAATCATGCGATTTCTATAAAAATTAGCATCAAAATGTAATTAAATTTCTAATGTGGTTATTTTAACTGGACAGCACGAGAATTAAAAAAATTTCAAACAAATAAATATTCTATTTACAGATGAAATAGGAATATGAAGATTAATTCTATATTTTTTACAAAATGATAAAACTTTTTACTGGCGTTTTGAGGTTTCACTCTGTCAAATGGATTATGAATTTCTGAATTCTGAAATTAATGATTCATGAAAATAATTTTAAAAAAAAATTTCCTTCCTGCTCTGTAAATTGTATAGAATTGAAAAATAGTAATTTTTGAAATATTAATAAAGACGCCGCTTAAAATGTAAAATAAAAATTGATATTTGAATTTTAAAATTTCAAAGTTACTTAAATAAAACCACGCAAGAAATTCAAATTCATGCAGCTTGGATATGTAGTTTATTTTGTTAAATTAATTCATGATATCAAGACTACATTTCAGAAAAATCAAGAGACGAAGGAGTTTTTTTTACAAAGGACGCGTGGAGCAAAGGGTTGATCTGCAATGGTTCATGGGCTTGAAGTGAAGGGAATGGTACTGGCACGGACAGATGCGGAGAGAGGGAAAAATGGAAAAACAGAGCGCGAGAGAGAGAGAGAGCCGGCGATATTGCGCGCAGAATTATTGTCGGCAGCATTTGATTCGCAAAAGCCCCACCACGGTACTTTTATAACGCGAATAAAACGCCTCTTTCTCGACTTTTTACTCTCTCTTTGCTTCTATATTATGTGGTCGATAAAATTCCTCTTCTCAACCAATCAAATGCAAGAAAGCTGCCTGCGCTACCAATTTTTATCATCATCATCTCGCACCCTCCCTGCTGTGTGCAAAATCTCTTTCCGCTCTCTCTCCGCCGTCGCCGCTCCACTCCATAACCATTTTTCTCTCTGGGGTATTTTTTATTGCGCCAGCACAGATTTCATGATATTGCTATCATCAAGTCTTTACCCCAACAGCCAACGCCAACTGCTATTCAGCGCGCCAGAGAATGGCAGCGCGGAGAGAAGAGGAAATAATCATCGAGCTCCGGATATGAAATTATAGGCAAAGTTCAGCAAATTACAAAACAAGTGCATTTAAATTAAAGTTTTGAAAATTAAAATAATTAGTACATTATTAGATGTAACTTCAAACAATTTAAAAATAACATTTTAATTATTTGATATTATTTTTTTAGAAATAAATTATATTAATAAAATTAAAATTTTTACGAAAGAAAGAATTTAATCTTATTTAGGCTCTTGAGTTAGAGACTTTCTTTAAGATTAAGTTAGAAATTTAATGCATAAGTTTAAAGTTTAATCTGCGTTCCTTTTTTTAAAATTAAATATTATGGAAATCTTATTTGTTATAGATTTGAGTAAATGTTTTCAATAATTGATGAAATAAAGATATTAATTAAAAAAAACTTTCATTTAAAAAAAATCGTTTGGAAATTCATGCATGACTCTCAAATATAATATTTGGTTTCGCGCAAACATACTAAAAACGAATTGTATTCACTTTAAATAATGAAATTTTCCATGCATGATATTAAATTCATTTCATAACGCAGAACAAGTCTAATCACAAATTCAAAGTGACCTAGCTCGGCAGTATCGCTGCGCAGATATCACGAGTTAAATTTTATATATATTAAGTTTGCGGTGTACCGCGTCGGCTTTGGAAAAATTGCAAACTTTGCCTGTCCTGCCGCTTTCATTAATAAAACATCGTCGCGAATATCTGAATATTAAAATTCAATAAGTGCACACTTCAAAAGCATGCAGCCGCCGCCCTCACCCACACACACCGAGAGTATAATAAAAAATAACATCGCACCATGAATTAATTAAAAAAGTTTGGCCGAGCGCAAAATATCAATTTGAATGGGGAAAAAACGGCGGCGTCGATCGATGGCGGAATTAAATTTCACTAACAGAGGCCAAGCGCAGTGAGAGGGAGTTCATGTAAGAGTAATGCGTTTTTTATGATGTGCGCCTCTCATTGGCCGAAGCATATTTTATGTATGAATCGGGCCGCAGCCAACTCGAGAGAGCCGCGTGCGCAATATAATAAAAAGTTTTCATATGGCCATAAAGTGCAGGGGTTTTCTTGAATTAAACATGGCTCTCTATTGGGAAAAAGCGGGTCTGCGGTTGATGGCTCAAGAGTTATGGCGCCAGCCCTGCGCCTAGCTATAAGAAGGGCCCCCACAATATTATTACGATTATTATATCTCCACCACCACATTATCATCATCATATGGTTAAATCATCTTGTGCTACGCCTTTTGCAGAGCCGAATCAAATCAGCTCGAGCACCGCCTCTTCCAGCCGCGCAATTTCGGCAATAAAATCCAACTCCATATAACAAAGCCAATTTAAGTGATTCATGCGTGTGATCAAATCATGCATCATCCGCTAAAGAAACTTTAATTGTCTGATTATTTTAATTTGTGTCAAGAAAAGTATAAAAATGAATGATTTATTAAAATATAAAAAATGGATTTGTTTTTAAATTTTTCTTCTCTAAAAAAAATGCACATATAAAATAAGGACTACGTTTTCTGTTTACAATCATTTACAATTTTTCCTCACAATTAAAACAATTAAACTTATTGAAACTTATTAATTTCGAGACTTACAAATCCAAGCAATTTAGTAAAATAAACAATAACAACTTTTAATATGTTTCGTTTAGAAATAAAAAATAATTTAAGTAAAACTATAGTCCCAATAATAAATTACTTCAGTTTAAATAACTGAAAAGGACGTACCTGCGAGTCCTTGAGTCCGAGTTTCTCGGCCAGTTTTTTCCTGTCCGGCTTGCTGATGTACTTTTGCAGTTGGAATCGGCGTTCAAGGCCCTTCCGCTGCAAGTCCGAAAACACGGCTCGTCTCATCATCCCTCTCCTGGGCTTCCCCCTGGCGCTGCCGGCCCACGGGAAAGACCCCGCCAAGGGGAAAACGGCGGGGCCGTTTTGGGGCACCGTTTGAGCTCCTGACGAGGGTTGTTGCTGCGCTCCATTTTGGGTTGTCACTGCAAAACGATCAAATGTGCGTTTACAAATCCGAAAATATTAAGAATATTTTGATGGAAAGTGATTTAAATTTATTAAGATTATTAATTATAATACATAGCAGAATAACTAATTTCATAAGAAACACATTTCGAGTGAACGGATCATATTATGCTGTGATTCATATTATTGTAAAAAAAATTTATATTATAAGAGTTGAACTATTTTGTGTTTGATGTTTCAAATATTTTTTTGGACGGATTGAGATCAGTTGCAACCAGGGTATTTCCCTTTAATATAATTTCAGAAGACCGCTGAAAATTTGATGTTGTTTTGAGCTTTATGAGGTGATTTAAATAGGATTTAAATTCATTTTTCATAATTTTCACATATATATAGGTTCCTCTTGGTCAGTCTTGAAATTCCGTATTAAATTTCATATAATTTATGCATGTATTATATTCACTTTTTTCATCCAAGAGATTTTGATGAGATTAAAAGGGGAATTCAAATAATTTTCCTGGGACATCTTGCGGTTGTCCCTTTCAAAAGAAAAAAAAAATATAGAGTATAAAACGTGACGATATTGCAAGACATAATGCTTGTCATCAGTAATTTGACGGATTGCCAGGGAGCAAAAATTCCAATCTGGAAATGAAAGGAGCAAAAAATGGTTAAGAGTGTATTTACAAAAAGCTACACATGTGTGCACGCAGACCCTCCAAGCTTCCAACCGGCTGGATGAGCTGAAAAAGCACACCCAATTTTTTACAATGCATAATTTGCCAGCACAATGAGGCAGGGATTGGAAAGGTGCAGCGCGCAGAGTGGCAGTTATGAGAAGGCTGCAAATAACATGTCAAACCAACAACAAACCGCACGCAACACAATGCCCGGATTATCTTTTCCAAATGTTTTGATAGTGCGGCCAGGCCACGGCTTGCTCTTTCACAGCTGCGTCGTGGGCGGCCCTGGAAAATCGCGCCACCTTTTCTCCTCCCATGTGACGAAAAGTAAATAAGGTGCGAGTTAATTGAGTGGAATGTGGGACCCTCTGTGCGATCACGTGGAAAGGGGCTTTGACTTTTTGTCGCTCACCATGTGGGAGGTAATTTGGCAGCTTAAAAGAGATCACCTGGGGAGCAGGATTAAAGACCTGCCAGGGTGTGCAGAATGGACCTTCTCAAGTGGTCAGTTCCCACACGAGTTTTATTTGTGTCCCTTGTTGGAAATATTTATGAGTGGCAACAAGAGGGAATTAAATTCTTTTGAAAAAAAAATTAGTCCCTCAAGGATTTTGAATTCGCGCCTTTATGAGAATATTTCTAAGCTTGGATTTTTTTTTGAAGAAAACAATTTAACGAAAAACCATTGGAATTCAGAGAAATATAAATTGTCAAAAGAATAATTCCAAAAAAATTAAACGATTTACTTAGAATTTGTGTCTTTATTGATATTAAAAAAGAAAATAAATTATAATAGAATTTTCATTGCACATAATTTTTTTAACGCTCAATTGATACTTACAATGAGCCTGTAAAAATATGCAATTAGTGACAGCAGTTCCATTTGTGACGGAAATAATTTTTGTTTTTGCTTCTTTAAAACAGAGATTTCGACAATTATTTTATAATTTCAAATATAAAATTCAAGCATCAAATTAAAATATGAAAATATTCAGAAATTCACGTACCAGTCAGATAGGGGTGTCTGCACGAGGCGAGGAAAGATTGGAGGTGCGAGTCGAAGACGTGGTGGTGCGGCGGCTGCGGCCTGGACGCGATGGGTTTTGCGATGCCCAACGAGCCGAAGGAAGCAGCTGCACCGCCCTGAAGGAAGGGGTTGATGGGGCCGCCGGAGGGATGGTGCGTCCGCCAAAGGGCGGCGTTCAGTGCTTGGTGCACGTGGTGCTGCACCTGCTGCGAACTCAAGTGCTGCTCCACATACAGCCTTTTCCGCCGTGGCGAATTCGACCTCTGAAGACAGGCTGAAACCGCAAAATGCAAAAAAATACTTTAAATCAGTGTTTTGAAACAGAATAAAACGGTTATTTAGTAAGTGAAGGTGCAAATATATAAAATCATGAGGTTTATACGATATTTTTAACTTATTTTAAATTATTTTTAAAAATTGGTCTTAACTAATTTTTACAATTTATATTTATTGTTTTGCAAAGTATTATGTTTTTTTATTAAATATAAATAACAGTTTTATAAAATTATCAATTTATAATATTATTAAAATTTTAACTTTTTTCTAATTTATTAAATAAAAATGTCTGCAAATTATTTTAAATTTGTGTCATATTTAAAAGTTCAATGCAATTAGATAATACTTAGACATAAGGATACGCTCTTTCGCTCTTCATTTTAAAGAAATTAAAGATTCAAAAAAAACCTGTGAATATGTAAATCAGGTCAAGTATAAGCAACAAAATTATTTAAATTCTATATACTTTTTAAAAGTACAATGAGTTTCAAGAAAACCCAAATTACTTTTAGCATCACAGTTAAATAATATTTTAGTTGATAGGGAAAATCTGAATGTAAGCTAATGTTATTCAGTGTGTAACTAATTGAATGTATTTAATTTCCCGCAGCTTGTTAGTCACGCCCATTTGAGTTTCCACGTTGAATAAACAAACTTTTCGCTCCGGGCACTTTTCGGATCAGCGCTCGCTCGCCTGTGCCTTTTCTTTTCTGTGCTCACTTTTTTTGAAATCGCACCTGCGAAAATAAACGGAAGCTTTTTCCTCTTTCGGCCGCGTGCTTTTTATATGAAATACGCGCCCCTCTATTATAAAATACAGGATAAAACGAGAGAGAGAGAACGCGGGATTGTTTGATGAGGAACGTCAGCGCACAGTGTGGATAAATTTATAGGACTGCGGCACAATGGCTGCGAGTTTATATAAACGCAATGTTATTGTTGGGGATCAACAGTTAAAATGCCGATCTCTTTGTAAACCCTCGCAGGATGAGCAGACCGCGCGGCTTGAAAATCAGCCACGGGATTATCCCTGCTGCTTTTTGCACCGTAAATAAATATTTCATCAAGGAAGAGGGACGCGGCCAATTTGTAAACGAGCTGCGAGTTTCCAGCAGGCATAAAAAGAGCAGATTGCTTTTTATCGCCGATGTTAAGAAGAGAATATAGGTTGAGCAAATACAAATGCCCTATCATTGGAAAATTGAATCATTTTTTCAAATAAATTTTAGTTATTATTTTGAAATAATAACTAAAATTGATTTAAATAAGTCTTTATTTATTTTATATCATCAGAAACATTACTAAAATCATTTTTAACATTCAAACAATATAAATTTGAACAAAAAAGAGTGATATCAATGTTTCAAAGAATTATCCGCATCAAAAGCTCTTTTATAAAATGAATGTAATAAAATATTAACCGGAAAAGGGAATTGTTAATTTATATAAAACTTTTTCAGTATCAAGTATCCCTGATCGGTATGGTGAGTAATGCGATATTGGTGTCACATTCCACCGAGAGTAATTGCGAGAACAATGCTGTTAACATGAGCATCAGTGACGGGAAGCACTTGATGTGCGGGAGTGTTGTTTATGCATCCCGCAGAGTCACGCATGTCACATTTGTTGCCTATTTACCAAAACAGCAGGCGCACAGCACGTCGCACCGCAGATACTAAATGGCTTGCGCGCTATTAATAATAACCTGTTTGATATGAGATCCGAATGTTATTGAATCTTTAAGAATGTTAAAAAGTAGAAAGTGTTGATAATTATGAAAAATACTTATTTGCAAAAATATCAAATTTTATTTTACGTGGTTTAAAAATTAAAATTGCTTAATTTCATCAGCAGTTTTTGGTCGGTCCGCGCCGTTTTGTTTTATAACTCTGAAAGGCCGCTCTTCAGCTCGCCGGAGACGAAAGTTAATGAACTTTTAGGCAGCCCTCTCGCGCGCGTTGGAGCTATAGTCTTTCTTTATTAGCTGCACCCGCGCAGCTGTTGCCCAAGACGGCAAGAAGAGGCAAACATTATATTGCAAAAGACCCTCTCTCTCTCTCTTTCCTCCCTCTCTCTTCTTTTAATACTCGCCGAATTTATTACACTTATTGCTATATACGCTCGGCTGCTCAACGCAAATTAGTCCCCGGGATTTACGCGCACCGCAACTGCCGCACTCGCACACTAATTGCGCACACATATTGCTCTGAATTAAGGGTGTTCAGTAAAAAGCTGGAAATTCATATCTTTATATTATAACTGATATTTCACAAATTCAAATTGAGAACCGCATATACAGAGCACATGATCTTTTTTAACCAATTATTAAATTATTTGGGTCGAAATAATTACTATGTGCGGCTAGAGATTTTATTCATAATTTGAGTGATTCATAATTCGAATCATTTTGAACAGGCAGATGTCAAAATAATTTTAATTTTAATGGTAATTTATTCCATTTAATGTTTGATCTATATCAATTTTTAACAAATTTTGATACAAAATTCTTTTTTATTAGGTTAATGTGAATTCCATGTTTAGTTTTGTATTAATATTTTATTGCTCCCTTTTCAACTGATCTCTTTTGATGGAAATGCAATAAATTTACTAATTTTTTTTTTAATTTAAAACAAGAACTTCAGCTATACTGATTAAAGAAAGTTTGATTTTCAAATTGCATTGGAAAAAAATACGCTTTGTAGGGCAACATTTTTCTTCTCAATTGCAGTTGATAAAACTTTGATATTTGAATTTCTTTTCCGTGTAGTATATTTTACCGCAATATTGAATCCAAATTCAGCAGAAATGTTGTTTGGAAGTTTCAGAAAAGAAATCATCATTATTCTTGTCCACGTCATGAAAATAAATTTAAACTCTTACATTGAGCTGAATAGAATATCCGCGAATTACTCTACGCATAATTACAAAAAGTAAATTTTACGGTCTCTCCTTGGGTGGGAAAGAAAATATAAATTTCAATTTATCTATTTTTGAACTTGGAAATTCCAGCAGAAAAGTATATTTTTATAGTGGTATGCTGCCTTTGTGTCTCTATAGCAAATTAGCAATTCAATGTTCCCTTTCCATCAACAATATATTTTTTCTTATGTACAACATTTTGTATTAATTTGTAACAAGATTATTAAAATTTGGTCGCAAAAGATATGGGGCTTATGGTCTCTGTGCCCAGCATAGAGCTTGCTAACAATAAGCTCAAATATCTTTTAAAGAGGTTGTTTGTATGTGTTGTTCTTTAGTATTATTTTATTAATACTGATTATTTTATATTGTGGACTTGACAGTTTAGCTACAAATAGTTAAAATGAAATTTGACTTACGTCTGAAGAGAAACTCATAAAACATTATACAATTTAAAGTTTTATTTGGTTTATTTGAATTTTGAGGAAGGAATAAAATTAATTTTCAAATTCAACTCAGAATTTCAAATTTTAAAACAATCTTTTCCCGCATGCTGCAGTTGCTAAATTTAAGTTTGATATCACAAAACTTGCTTAATAAAAAAAAACAGGTGACGAGTGAATTTCTTTGAGATTTAAGAGCCAATTTCCAACAAAATTCATTCAATCTTTTTACATAGAAAAACAAAAACTTATTAAAAAAAATGCTCACCAGTACAGGGACCAGGCTTATCACTACCGAGAATTGCACTAACACTGAACTTGAGGACCGGCTTGGACTCGTCGTGGTGGTGGTCGGACGTGGCGCCGACGGCAGGCGCGTCGACGGCGCCGCAAGTGCACTCGCTAGTGTCATTGTCATTGTCAGGGCTGTGCTGAGCGGGCGGCGAGGCCGAGTCGTCGGAGCACTCGTCGCGCAGGATGGTGAGCGAGAGGGCGCGCTCCTTCAGGGCGGCCTGCTCCCTCAGCAGGTTGTCCACGAGGAAGGGCGAGGTGAGCATGCTCGAAGGGCCATGCTCGACCAGCAAGTGCGGCTGCATCCTTGCCGATGGACCACGTGCCACTGCCGCCGCGACCGCCGGCCCAAGACACCCTCGGCGGCGGGGCGGCTCCGGGGGCGGGGCGGCCGCGGCGCCGCCCCCTGCCCCCATTGGCCACCCCTCTGCCAAGAACAAGTCATCATCCACCTTATGTGCTAATATATTCAAACCCCTTTGCTGCCGATTGAAACAAGGGGGCGGCAAAAAGAGTTTTATGGCAGTCGCATGTGCGTGCGAGAAAGAATAAAATGCTTTTATTCCAATATGCCCAGATAGAATATAAGGGCTCGTCCTTTTATTGTGTGTCACTCGGCAGGAAGGGATGATTGTTTTATCACATTGGTCCCACTCTTTGATTGAGATTGAAATAAGGGTTTTGTGCGGTTGAAAAAAAATGGTCTCCTCAGAGCAGAGGAGAAATAAAAAATGCGTTTCAAAAGTGACAAATTATTAAATTCAAATAATATTGGAAAAGCGAAAAAATATTTTAATAACGAAGAAAACGTGCATATAATCTTGAGCACAACAAAATTTCAAATTATATGTGACAATTAAACAATACGTGTCTCAAAAAATTTGAAATATATAAATGATATTCAATTTATCCTCTTTTTCAATAATTGATAAACTGATAATTAATCACTTTTATCAAGATTTGTAGTTAGGTAAGATTAAACATTTAAATTGAATGAAATTAATTTTGGCAAAATGAAATCGAACAATATTAAGTTTAATATAGAATAAATTTTTGGTATGAGATTTGAATTTATTATCAACTGCACCATTGTCATAGGCATTGACATTCATTGCATTTTTATTGCTCTTCGCGTGCGAGATTTGATTCGGAAATAAAATGCGACAAATATTATGCAAATCAGCGTATCAGTCACGCCCGCCGCTTAATATATTTCTGGCGCGCATCACTTTGGAAACATTATAGATGATTAATTTTTAAAAACCGCGAGTGTGGAGAAAGGGCTCTAAATACATAATTTATTCAAAGTTCTCTCCTATGGCTTGGGTTGCATCTGCAGGACATTATGCAAATGTGGTTTTGATCCTCATTCGACATGGGTGCTGTCACACACACACACACCGCACTCTGTTATTGTGCTAGATCTAATTTTCTACGCGTCTCATCTCTTTAAAGGATAAATGGGAGGATGCAGCGTCCTAACCAAAGTAGTTATATAAAAGGGTCACAAAAATGCCTTTCACGCAGCTTGTTATGTATGGTAAAATATTTACAGTGTTTATGTATCAATACATAGTCAAAACATTTGAAACAATCCACATAAATCGATATTAAAATTCTTAAAATTCAAAAAGATTAACTTGCAGGAAATGGTGACAGATTTATTAACAAACGAAGTCCAAATTGATATTTGAATATTTTACATATATAAATAAAAACTGTTTTCGTATTAAATTATAAACAAACTCTTAACTTCTCTTCAACTGAAAATTAAAATTGAATTCTATAAAAAATCCTGCTGTATTTGATAAAAACTTTCTTTTGTGCGGGGAAAAAAAAGAAATTTAAATAATTGATTTTGTGAAATGAACTTTAGTGTATTTCATTGCTTTTTCGAGTAAATCTCAATAAAAAATAATAACAGATATTACCGACAACAATCACACATTAATGCTCCCTCACAGCAGTGGCAATACGGCCAAAATGTGCGGCAATAATGTCGCGCAGAAATGTGTTTATTCACTCTCTCTCTCCTTTTCTCTTGGCGGAGAATTGCTGACTCTGTGTGTTGAGCAATAACAATATAATAACAAGCGAAATGCGTGGCTGGCATTAAGCAAGTTCTATAATAATTTGGCTGCAACTCTCTCTCAGGGGTTCGTTATTGAGAGCTGCTGTTTGTGTTGCAGCAAAGGGCGAAGGAGCTCGACGCGTTCGTGTAACATCTGTATCTGACACCTTGGCTCTCCGCGCGGCCAATCCAACATAGCAATAAGCACAGACTTCTGCTGGCCCTATCGCTACTTCCACCCTCAGTCAAAAAAATCTTTATATATTCAATGTTAGTTCATTTAATATCAATACAAGGAAACTCTGGCAACTCTGCTACGACATGTTAAACTTAAATTGTTAAGAAAAGTAATGTTCTATGAATCTTCAATTCATTAAAAGAAATTATATTTTTATGGAAGATTAACGACATAATTTGCTGTACATAGGCTTGTACAGGCAAAACTTGATCCAGCAAAACGTTCAACGCTTCGTTTCACCTTGAGCTCAATTTTAAATTAGCAAATGTCGCTGGCATTAAAACTGGTGTAAATGCGTTTTGATAAATGATCTCGTGCATCTCATATCTCTTCTCAAGAATGGGGCAAAGAGAGCGAAAAAAAGGAAACGTGAAAAGCAAAAGCGGGTTTGCTACCTAAGTTGATTTCGGACCAAATGTAGCGGAACTAATGGTCCGGGGTGTGATTTTCAGCCCCTGCGCCGCCGCCAGAGGAGAGAGAGAGAGGGCTTGACGAGAACACAAATCATTTTGCGCGCAGCAAACCCTTTGAACTCGGAACCATTGAGCGCTCTTTTCAGAGTTTAATGAAAATAAAACTGCACATTAAAAAACGAAAGGGGTCAAAAATTCACACTTTCAAGTATCAATAATGCTTTATTGCTGCCAAACCTTGGACGACAAATCATTTATTAGAGCGCCATAAATCCATTATCAAGTCCCTCGGGCCTTTTCGCGCCGCGCGCTGTTTGATAAATAATAAATGATTTAATATGTCAACATGCACGGAGGCAATTTGTCAAAATTTTTCGCTCGGCCAACAGGCAGCTCTACAACTTATTCTCCAGCATCTGCTGATTTACGACTCGCGTTCTGTAGCTGAATCATTTTCCCAGCCAGCGTATCATAAATTTTTTGACTCGCGCGCGTTAAATAAGACTTTTATATTATTTCGCACTGCCATATAGTCTGGTTGTGATGTATGGTCTCGAATCACAATATTACACATAAAAAGCTGAGCTCAAATTTAATCATTATTGTTGAGGCGCGGGAGCTTTATTATTCAGCTTTTCCCCATAAAGGTGCAGACACTATTTTTATGCTGGAATTTGCAGCGTCACATAAACGATTTATTGCTTTATTCTTTACAAAATGAGTTGGACAAAAATCTAGCACAAAAATTTGATCGGAGTCTAAAATTTATATTACTTTTATTATTATTCAATTTGGGAATTATTATTAGTATTATTACGTATTCTTCTCAGATGATAATTCAATATGTTACTACACAGTTTGTAAAAATTAAATTTTTACTTTAAAATTTTCTTTTCATTGATAATTGAAATCGTTATTGAAGTTTGTATAAATCAACGTATTCTATCCGAAAACAAAAAATCAAATTTAAATTACTTTTTAATTTACCAAGAATCAAATTGAAACTATGTCAAAAATAAAAATGTTCGTGTCAGAAATTGCAATTGAGGAACACTTAAGAATGATAAGTTCTTTGTTCTAATAATTTATAAAAAAATTTTAGATCAAGTGTAAAATATTTTCATCAAAAAGTTCGAAAATAATTGTAGAAACAAACACAAATCTTAAAACCAAATAAACAAATTACGCTATATGCAAATTTATGCAATACTTTTAAATGGCTCAATACTAATTTAAAAAACTAATGTAAAAAAACTCATTTATTTGCTCTTTTATTTAAAATTGAATTTTAATCATTCTGCTACCAATTGTTTTTCTTAAACAATAAAAACTCACAAAAACCCATCGAGGAAAAGCCGAATTTAAATTCAATCCACCAAGGATTAAATAAATTAATAGAGTCTTCAAGATGAGCAAATTTGTCAAAATTTAAAGTTAAAAGTATAAAAAAGTAGTCACTATCTGGAGGTCAATTTTATTTATTCATAAAAAGAATCACGAATTATTATTCATGTTTAAATTTAAATCTTTTAATTATCCTGGTGTTGATTGCCAAATTGTTGACGCCGCCACCCCACTTTATTTGGCTAATAGATAGAGACAGATTGTTTTTCGCTAAAGAGATTATTACGCAAGCGGATCAAGGAAAGAGATCATTTAACACAAAGTTAATTGAATTTTCCCCCACCGTCAAGTATTATAAAACACTGTCAAGAGCAGCTCGGTCTGCCATAACTGCTGAGAGCTTGCGCCGCCGCTCCGATATTTTATATTTTCACATTTTAATATACCGAGAAAAAGTAGTCTGGTGCTGCGCTGCTGTGTACGTGTTTTCAAAAAGAAAGTTTCTGAATTAAAAATTAACGAAGCTTTCATAATCATATTTCACCCCATGTACAAAAACTCATTTCCCAAGCAGCAGCAGCAGCAGCAGGCGGAGAGAGAGATTTGAATCATTTATTATAATGATCTTATTAAAAACTTTGCTTTTGCGGTTGATAGCAAGAAATAATTAAAAAAGTTGAAAGGCATGAAAATCGCTCTCCTTTCCGCGCAAACTTTTGTGGAGCGAGTGAAGAGCTGCTATTGAACGCGGCAAAATAAATGAGAAAGAGAGCGAACGGAAAGTTGACGCAGATTTTTCATTTGCTTTAAATTACACTTGAGGCTGCGCTGAAAAGCCGCGGCGAGTTATTTTCACGGCGTCGGATAAAATAGAGAGAGAGCGCGCGCGTTTAGATTATCTCTGATGGCGGCTCAATTATTATTACTTCCTGCCAATGACATTTAATCAAAAACTCTCTGCGGCGCCAACACAATAAAACGCCTGCAAGAGCTTCGATTCTTTTTATTTTTACCCTTGCACCCCTTAACACGCCCTTTCGTCAGATTATGTTCGCGGTTGTGTTTGATTTGATTGAAAAAATCAAAGCAAATAATGATTTCCATAATAAAACTGGATAATATTATTTGGGTTTTATTTTAATTAACTTCCCTTGGAGAGAAAAAAAACTTTACATTTAAATCAACCTAAATGTGAATTTAAATTTTTTTTTATTCTTGAAGAAGAAGACATCAGTTTGTTCAAAAAAAATTAATTCATATATTTGTCGCAGATGGATTAAGAAATATTAAAAATACCATTTTATTTTTATTCTTTTAATTATCTATTTTATTTTTATTAATATACTACGATGTTCTGTTTTTTTTAAATTTCCTTTAAAAAATCAATTTTTAAGGAGAGTTAATTGACCACGTCAAAACCATTTCTTTTAAGAAACTACTCAATTTTTCTTTTAAGATTGAAACTATCAAGAATTTATATAACCAATCATACTCTCAAATAAACAGTAATGAATTATAATAAATAAATACAGCAGGAAGTTTTCTCCTTCACATTTTACAAATAAATTTGTGGCATACGTCTTCGATCAAAGCTTCCCCCAGATCAAACCCACACATTAGAAAGATACAATAAAGTAATAGCATAAAAAAAGGAGAATGTGCCTTAGTGAATGGAGATGGAATTTAACTGCAACCCCGCGCGAGACTGGCGACACAAAGGCAAATATTTTACAAACATAGGAGGCAGAACGCTTTTATTCTTGTGTGTGTGTGTGTGTGTGTGTGTGTGTGTGTGTGTGTGTGTGTGTGTGTGTGTGTGTGTGTGTGTGTGTGTGTGTGTGTGTGTGTGTGTGTGTGTGTGTGTGTGTGTGTGTTGTACTCTTTGTAAAAGGGCTCCTTAAGCAAACAACCGATTTAGCGCTTCGTTTAAATCAGTTTTGGGGCCCGCGGCAGACCACCAGTGTAGACGAATCTATATGCCTGCAATTTTATAATGCGTGCTACAAATTTTTTAAATGGATTTATTTTGGAAATCTTGCTGAAATGATCTTTTTCCTTGGCTTTAACAGCCTAAAAAAGGTTTTTATTATTTATAATTTTGTTTCCTTAAATCATAGAATTCTTACCGTTTACCTTATTACAGGTTGAATAATTTCAATTTAAAATTAAATTATATGATGAATATAAATGGGGGGTTTTTGTGTGGAGATAAATTAGGAATAAAACCTTGGTAAAACATCATGGGGGTTTGTTTGTGTTTCTTGGAGAGAAACTTGATCGCACAATAAAACATTTTAACCGATGTTTTATGAACCTTTTCGAGTGTTTTCGCAGATTTGTTTGACAAGCAACCCTGAAGTGGCGCGACGTCCTGCACAAATTATGTGTGTATTCGGCTTATATTCCAATATAAGTTTCATCGTTTGGAAAAGGAAGGAGAGAGAAATCCTCTCTTTTTCAAGGCCCTCGGTGTTTGCATGAATAATATTTGGACAGACGCAGCACGCCGTTGGTTAAATATGATATATTTTCAACGCAGAAATTGAGTTCGGCCGGGCAGATGACAAAATTCCGGCCTTTTCCATATAGACACGACACGGGTGCTGCTAGCTGTGCTTGTCGTGCGTTTATAATATTTAAATGGGACCCTTTGCATGCAAATGCCGCGAAAATGAATGCGCAAGTGGCTCGATCTGCACCGAAAGCGTCTCTCTGCGTGGTAATAAATTCATACTGCTCCACACGCGTCTTCTTTGGACGGCAGAAAGCTGCAGATTTGCATTTTAATTGGAAAAGCTCTTTGTATTAATTTAAATGTGTGTTTGCCGATGCAGATGAGCGTGGGACATCGGTGAAAACTAAGATGAAATTTTTTGGCCCTATAATTATACATAAAACAATTTAAAATATTTAAGGGATAAAGGATGGCAATAAATTAATTGTGAACAGTTTTAGGTGGCTTCAGGAAAATTGTTTTGAACCTTGATTTGCAAAGATATTCAAAGTTAAATATTGAAATTTAATCTTTTTTTTTTATTTAAAAAAAAAAAAAAAATTCCATACTCAAATTATTTTGTTCTATCTTAATCTTATATCATATAATTTTAATTACAATTATAACAGCTGTCAATCCAGTACAAGGTGCGAGTATCATCAATTTTTGAATAAATAAGGTCACTCGTCAAGTACCTATATATATTTAATTACAAAAAATAATGTGAATTAAGTGCGTTTGTAAAATTTTAATTCCAAAATTAAACAGTAAACTTAAAAATAATTTAAAAGAACTAAAAATTAAAAGTGGTAAAATATGTTTAAAAAAAAATTAAACTTTAAAAATTCAATAAGTCAACCTCTTAAATTTTAATCTTAAATTGCAATTTTAAATTTTAAAGAAATCCTTGTTAAAAATTGTTTATTGCACCCAATGAGTTTCTGTAAAAGGATTGTTATTTTCAGTTTCTCCGTTTACACAAATAATACCATTTTCCAATTTCTAAATTTAGGGGGTTGAAAAGGCGCGGGTTTGATGATGGTGGTTTTGGTCAAAAACTGATGAAATCCGCCAACAACACTCAGCCATCATCATTTATTTATTCCTGCATGCTCTCTGCGCGCGGCGAGTTTGTTTTTTTGCGCGTGCAGCACATTTCTGTAAAGCGTAATTTTCACACGACGTTAAACAGAAAGCTTATCAAAAGCTGAAACGTCAGTTACAGAGAGAGCGAGTGCAGGAGAGCAAGCAAGGGAGAAAGAAAAACTAATATTTACCACCGAGCACGCTGTATTTCATACAAATTTAGCGTAAGTGCTTTTTTGTATTATTCTCTCTCTCTCTCTCTCTCTTCAAAACCGTCAGAGAGAGCAAAAATCTATTTTATAATAAATTTCATTTCTCTTGCGCGCTCCCGCACAAGCACCGGGTGATTTTTGCGCTCGGGTTTAATTTGATGTAAAAACCAGTCCAGCGGAAATCATTCCTGGCCGGAAAACATTATTTTGATTTCTCTTTATTCTCTTTTGCACATGCATATGATAAAAAGTCGAAAGTGGAAACTCGTCTGAAAGACCGCAGCGCATGAAATGGTTTTTAATTAGTCCCTTTGATTTTGCTCGCTGACTTGCAAATTATCTCATTTTCCTGGAAATGAATTTCATCTTCTCCAAATTAGTCGAATAAGGGAAAAAGCGACTGTTTAGACTTTTGAAGGTATTAATTAATTTACGATTGAATTTAAATAATTTCCCGATTTTTCATCCCTCAACGGTTTTGCGTACGTGTCGCAGCTGAAGTTGAAAATTAAATTGATGTTTTTCCATTCATGAATCGCTCCCTGTTCTTTTTTGTTCCGCGAAGGAAACAAGAGGCCCGTGGGTTGGTCGCCTCTCACTTGCAGGCTCTCGTTGCAGCACAATAATATGGTGATAAGAGCCGGGGAATACATTAATGTGTGCTCGTTGGGGGCCGCTCGCTCAGCTTGGCTTCTGCTCTCTGCGCGTTATACCCCTCTTATGAAATTAATTAGTACCATTTACCACCCCATTAACCATCACAACTGCGTGCGCTATTCTATTTAAGGCTGCACGCTTTCATCCTTTTTCAAATCATAATATATAATATAAAAAAGTAATTGAAATAAGAAAAATATTTTTTTTTAATTAAACATCCATCTCTAAAGTAGTTTTTTTAGTTTTTGAATAAAAGTATTAAAATTTATTTCTCTAGTGGAATCATACAGAAAATTATAATATTGATCAGCAGGTCTGTGCCTGAATAAGATCTCAATGTAAATTTCAATTTAGTCAACAATCGGATTTTTCGCATTGTCCAATGCCACATTCTAATATGCATAAAAAGCAGTGTTGGTTGTCGACGTTATTCAACATTTGAATTTCTATTGTTGAAAAAACGCCGAATTCTCTTCACATTTGAAAAACAGTTTCCTGCTTATTATGGACATTAGAAGCTGGATTGGTCGAGACGCCATTTTTCGGTTTCAAGACCCCGGGCGGCCTGGGGTCTTGAAATGAAAAAATGGCGTCTCGACCAATCCAGCTTCTAATGTCCATACTGCTTATGGAGGAAATCGAGGTGACGGAAAAAGATGTCCAAGAGGCTAAAGAGTCTCTGGACCCAAAAGTGTGAGTTTTTAAGAATTCAAGTTGAAATTTTTTAATTCATTGAGCTGATTATCATCAGTCGCGAACTTTTGGCAAAGTTGGTGGAACGACTGCTGACGGAAAGACCTGACAACGCATACGACATTCTGGAGCTGATGGTCGCGTCCATCAAAAACGAGGACGAATATCATAATACGGAGCCTGACAACTTTGAGACTCCTAATTCCAATCTGCTCAGAAGTCTTTTCCATCCGGTTTGCAAAAAGAAAAAATCTGAAAATTCTTATGCCAAATTCAAACAGGAAAAAGCTGAGGAGAGGGACTTGAATGATGTTTGGATGGACAAAGCGGTGAATGCAACGCCCTGGACTGACTGCAACGAGCAGCTTAGTCTGCTGAAGAGATTTGCGGGTGTTTGCATTCCGGACGAAACGATTTTCCTCCTGAGACTGTCCATGCGACAACTGCAGCAGCAATTTCCCAACATCTACCGGCTCAGGTCGTAGAAAAAGTTACAAATTCAAAGAAAGGATTTTATTAAATGATAAAATTTGTAGGTTCTGGGGCTGCTTTTGCTTCAAATGGTTTGTGTTGGAGGCAGAATTGACTCCCCAAGGGTACGCTGCGAGGGACGAGGAAATAAAAGCTGCAGAAAAAGCTGCCGAAGAAAAGGCTCGAACTGATTGGGAGGAGAAAAAGAGGGAGGCAGAACAAAAAGGGGAACCTTTGCCGAATCCTCTTGAACCCTCAGAACCAGAAATACCCCGAGAACAGTCTGGAACTGGAGTAAACTCTCTTGTAATTTTTTTCTTAGCTATCTTACTTTTTTCATCACAGAAAAAGATTATTCTAATTTTTTTATTCATCTCCATTTAATGTTTGGAGAAAGAAAAGCTATTTAAATTGTTTCCAACAAATATTAAAAATTTACAGCCGGCTGGTGAATTATATTAATTTTATTATTTATTTATATTTTTCATGATGTGAATTATTATAATATACTTTGTGAAGGTATACCTTGTGAGTGAGTCTCCTGGCCACCCTGAGAGCTGGACCTGGCTGCCTGACTTGAAACCTAGAGACATCATTCTCTCTCGCCAGATCCTCCAAATTCCTGAGGACATCGTTGGCGATGTTCCAACCTCCGAACTCAGCAAAGAGACCTTGCTTAGAGTTCAAATCGCAAGGATCAACTCTTCGACCAGGGTGGCCCCGCTGGGCATGTTCAAGATGAAAAAGAAATTGGCCCCTGGCGAGGAGGAGGAAGAAGACGAGGATGACGATGAAGAGGAGGACGATGAAGAGGAGGACGAAGATGATGACGACGAGGAGGAGGAAGGCGAAGTCAAAGAGGCTCGTTTGAATGCCAAATTCTCCTCTCCCCCCATGCAGCAGCTTATGGACCAGAACAAGTGGGTCCACATCACCCCTTTCATTCTCCAAGGTCAGGCCAGGGTTAAGTGGTGGAATCCAAACCCTGATGCTGAGGAAGAAGAAGAAGAGGATGAGGTTGTCTCTCGTTCAGGTCTAAAGTGAAATTATAAAAAAAAAATATTGTATTAGGATGATGAGGACGGCCCCAAAAAGCCTGGCCCTGAAAAAGGTCCGAAGCCTCTCAGTCCCATCGGACTTGACAAAGCTAGCCCTGAATTGGTGGAGGGATTCCCTACATGTTGGGCTCTGAGGAAGGTTTCAGTTTTGGGTCCTCCTGCGGTTGTGGCTCGTTCCTTGATTTGGCCAGGCTCCATCTCAATTTTTGCATCAGGGTATATATAAAAGATAAAATTACTTAATATTATTTAAAAAAAAAAAATTAAATAATCAAAATTAGCGTAATTATTTAATTTTTTTTAAATTTACAGCCGGCTGGAGCATATTTACATTGGCTGGGGAATTAAAGCAAGCAGTCGCCATTTCTGTCCGAAACTGGTGCCTGAGTTGATGCCTGAACCAGAGGAACCGATCCTGGCTGCAGACCCGACAGTCCAAGAGGAGAAGGCGGCTGAAGCCGAAAATGAAGAAAATGCAGATGATGATGATGACGAATAATTATTTTAAATTTGGACCGCGTTAATGAATTTAAATCTCTTTAGACTAAAATTTTCATTTTTTCCTTGCTGTGTGTATCAACCGGCAAATTTTAAAGAAAATTGATGTAAAAATAATTGCAATAGAGAGAGTGCTTTGATGGATTGCGGGGTGCCATCCTTTGGGGTGTGTAAATGACGTGTGTTGCTACACTTGCGGAACCCCAGGGTGTCAGAGGTGATAACTGCGTGGTGGTGAAATCCCCTGCGGTGTCTTGGGTGGCGGAAGCGACCGTGATGATGACAACTCGGCTCGCACTTCCCCGAACACCACCACCACGCCGGCAATTAATTTAGCGGTGACTCAATCCAAATACACAAGAAGTGTAAAATTAATTAATTCCAAGCAAAACACTCTGAGACTTAATTAAGCTTAAGATTTTGTTGAACGCTCTAAATAATTTCACAAAAGGCTTATTCCGAGTTAATGCGTTAAAGCGGGCATGTTTATCTTTTTATCAGATCGCACCCCATGCGATGTATATTATTATTTTCCATTCAGAACGCTAACCACAGTTGTGATTATTCGCCGCTTTTTATTGCATTTCCTTGCTTATTTTTGGCCAGTTAATGGGCAAAAAGTTCTCCTCCCTCGACAAGCGGAGTTGAATTATGAGCAATGGGTGCATCGGCAAGTATAATTTTTTTGCCCTCGCGCCCCGTGCCTCCTTTATATTTTTATTGATTGAAAATGATGATGCACTTTTTATATGCGAGCGATAATAGATACATATGTATGGGCATATAATGCACGCTAAACGACCCTCGCGCGCCAAAGGAAATACAAAACGATCCATACAATCAGGGGTGTGAACGGAGAGAGACGGTTTTTATGGTCGGCTACTTCCATTATTGTTGCCTTTTTTACTTCTGCCGGCAAGCCAATTAATTTATAGCCCCGCTACTTATTTATTTCACATAACACCACGTAATAAAAATGGAAATTTATTCTCATTGGCCGTTTCTTTCTATAGATTATTTTCACATAATATTCCATTGCACACTAATGAATGATTTTTATTTAGAAAAAGCATACAGCAGACCGGCTTTTTTACTTAGAAGTTTTTTTCCCAAATCAAAGTAAAAATAGGGGAAATAATTTAATTTATATGGTAAATAAGCCAAAAAATAGATTGCTACATAGGCTTTTATTAGAGCCAGAGGGAGGCGAAAGTGCTGACTATATGAGACCCGCGTGCCGTGCAGTGTGCAATAATAATAATAATAATACATATTTGCGCCAGAACGAGTCTCTCGAGCTGCTTTCGGAACATCTGGCCAAGACACATTGTTAGCAGGCGACAATATTAACGCGTCCTCTCGCCATTGTTAAGACGCGCAGAAATAAGTATATAACAATAATAATAAAAACTTCCTACTTGTCATCATCAAATATAATAAATTGTGCAGTGTGTGCTGGTGAGCAAAATTGTTTTTCTTTTGTGCAAACTTTTATGACAAAAAGAGAGAGAAAGATACATTATTTCTCCTCTCTTCTCTGTATGACACTTGGAAGTGAAAGAGAAGAAAGGAAGTGCCGCGTCTTCGTTTTTCAGACACACTGCCGCTGTGTGACAGCTTTAGGGAGTTCAGAGTAAGTCAAAATCGGCAGCACAATAACATTGGTTTGGTTCGACTTTCCCCTACAAGTGATAGAAAAACAATAAAAATTTTCGAATGGAAAAAATAATATTTTGGAAAATAACCATTAAAAAAATTAATTTATTTTTATAAATAAATGTTTAAAAATGTAAAATTTATTTAACAATGTGGTAGCAAACAATATATTGTTTTTGAATAAAAACAATTTTCTGCAACAAGGAAAAGCCCGATCGCTTCATTTCCAAAAACAATATCTAGTCTGGAAAGGATATAATTCCTGTAAAATGTCCAGCCCAATTTTTTGATCATTTTAAATTGATTACAGAAAAAAATCAATTTTTAAATTTTTTTAATCCTAATTTTAGTTATTCAAGTCCTTTAATTGAATTTTTTTTTTAGCAAAGTCTGAATAGTAAATTTAGGATTAACAAGTCTCTCATTTTGGTTAGTCTTTAATCAATTTCCACGCGTTGGTGAATTTTCATTGAACGCCTAAATAGCCGGAAAAAGAAATAAAATTCTATGTTCATGCGCAATTAAATTTAGCTGCGAAAATCTATTCAAGCGGCGGCTGGAAAATTGAAAGATGCCGCCCGGCTCGGCGCTCCTCTAATTATTCAAATTAGCTCTTTATGATGACACGTCGTGTAAAGAATAAATTCGGCATTATGCGTGTCACAATAGATGCGCTGTTACATCTGTCGCGTTGTGTCGTAACATTTATTAAATAGATAGCTGCTGGTTGGCTGGATGCTCCCTTTGGAAGTTGAGGATCATGTGATGTGAAAAAAAATACGAACGAGCGCAGAGCAGAGAGAACCAGGCGGGCGACTTTAAATAATAAAAACTGCAGCCAACCTACCGCTAAGCAGGGCAATAACTCAAAAGCTGCTATCAAGCGCAGACTTGGACTATTATATTATTATGCGCGCGGCTCTTTTTCATCCCCACGACTCACATCATGTGCACATACTCCTCTGTTTGTGTGTGTGTATAATAGCGGCGAATACATTTATTTAAGCCTTCATGCTTGCGTGTGCTCGTGTATGAAATAAGACTGCGCGCTGAAAAAAAAATTAGAAATGGGCGTGACGCAAACTTTTCACATTAGAATAATAAAAGGGATTAAAAGGACCCGAGAGATATTATGGAAATGTGCCAGAATGTACACAAACAAGCAGACGCCGCCACCGCAAACACAATGAATTTTTCAACAACCGGCACTCTCGTTAGATGCCCGAGGAAATTTATTTTGGCTTTTATATAGCAACCAGTAAATATAAATGCGGAAAAAAAATAAATTGGGAATCCAGGCGAAAAGGTGATATCCATTCAAACAAAATATTCAATTCATAAATATCAAGCTGAATATTTTATTTGTTTTAAATTTTTTTGCTGAGTTAAAATTTTGGCCGCAGTATTTCTTAAGTTTTCGGTGGGTCTCGGCCGGTCTCGGGGTGTTGGCCGCGGTTTTGGTGGGTCTCGGGCCTTGGCCAGTCTCGTGGTGTCGGCTGGTCCCGGTGAGTTTTACTTTTTGGTCCATGAAGTAAATTTTTTATAATTATTACAAATAATTTTGTTTGAAGTACATATTAACTTCAATTAATTTTATTTTTATTTACTATCAAGTCAATTTAATATACATCTATTTCAATAATAATTTCAGCTTTTAGGACAAATAATGGCGACACTTATAATCGTCTATTTTAATTATTTTACGCTCATATTTTTAGTTAAATTTGAAAAAATAACTCAATTTCCTCACATTTTTGTTCATTAATTAAAATTTTGGCAAATTTTGCAACTCCATCGGAACTTTCAAAGCTCAATGACGATAACTTCAGAAATTCGCCTCCTGGCGATTATACTAAAAAAATTCACATTATAGTCCTAAATTTTTAATTATTTTGGCTCAGACATATTGTGTTTTATTTACACACAAAACTAAATTTCCTCATTTTTTTTTGCCTCATTAATTAAAATTATGGCAACCGTAGCATCTCATTTTGGCGCTTACAATGCTCAGTGACAATAAATTCTAAAAATAGTCCCCTGGCGATTTTGCTCAAAATGAATTATAATCGTCTATTTTAATTATTTTGCGCTCATATTTTTAGTTAAATTTGAACAACTAACTCAATCTCCTCACATTTTTGTTAATTAATTAAAACTTTGGCAAATTTTGCATCTCCATCGGAACTTTCAAAGCTCAATGATGATAACTTTAGAAATTCGCCTCCTGACGATTATGCTAAAAATTCAAATTTTAGTCCTAATTTGTAATTATTTTGGCGCAGGCATATTGTGTTTTATTTACACACAAAACTAAATTTCCTCATTTTTTGCCTCATTAATTAAAATTATGGCAACTGTAGCATCTCATTTTGGCGCTTTCAATGCTCAGTAACGATAAATTCAGAAAAATGCCTCCTGGTGTTTATGCTAAAAATTACATTTGAATTTTAAAATTATAGTCGTCTTTTTTTTCATTATTTTGGCTTTTGGCGCTTTTATATTGGGTTAAATTTAAACAACTAACTCAATTTCCTCACTTTTCGGTTCATTAATTAAAAGGTAGGCAACCTCACTATCAGAACTCACAGTGCTCAGTCACGATAAATTTTTCTGTGTTAATTGGAAATTGAAAGGAATTACATTTTTAATTAATCCTAATCCTAGAAGCCAGATTTAATAAGTGTATAATTTATTATATGGTTTTATCAGCAAAAATACTACTGCGCGCTTTCTTTTTGTTGAAGTTAATTAAAAATTTTAAAATTTATTTTTTATGAATTTAATTTAAATCACAATTTCACCTGCCTTATTCATGAAACTTAAAAATGGGCACTTAGTATAGAAGGCATTCCCGTTGAATTAAAATTAAGTTTTTTAATTTGAAAACTCAATATTTAGTTTAATAAATTCCAGTCTGCACAATCCCTATTTATTTTTTTAACAAATTTTTCCAAGTAAATATTTATTAACAATGAAAATAATAATGCTGGTTTATATTTTTAGTTTTAATATAATATGTGCAACTGTACAACCAAAGATAATTGCGTTGCAATTCCAAAAATAGATCTTTTGTTTATGTGAGTAATAACATTATTTAACTATAGTTAAATAAAGTTGATTGCCCATTGCAACATCAGTTCAGTACGACTTGTGAAGTGATTTGAATGATGGATGAGCGCATCTACGATCCGCCCACAGAGAAGTAACAAATCGCGAGGCGCGATATTATTAGCTATGCGAAACGATGACCGCTCGCAATTAACACCCCAGTGATAAATGAAGCGGCGCCAGCGTCCACTGCAGCAGCAACAATTAATTAGGGCTGTAATAATGCAACGTCCGTCTAAGCTGCTGTGGTGATACAAATGCGGTTTCTGCGAGTGGATTCATCAACATAA